AGTCAAAAGCAACCGAGACTCAGAAGAGTTAAGGAACATTCTCAAGGTCAAATGGCAGTAGAGCCAGGATACAAACCCAGGTGTATCTGACTAACGACCTCAGTCAGCGATGGCTGGCTCCAGGCTTAGCTCCTCGGGGGGCAGATGGCCAGCCACCATGGGAGGGATGTCCAGGTCACATGGTCTTTTTAAATGGAAATACTTTGAAATCTAGGAGCACAGTTTGAATTGAAACCATGAGGTAGATTTTGTACCCACCATGTGCGTGGCTGTTTGGCCTCCTCTGGTGTTATCTATTGCTGTGTAACAAATCACCCCACACTTAGCTGATTAAAATACCACACGTTTAGTATCTCATCGTTTCCAGGGGTCAGAAGTCCAGGCAGGGTTAGCTGAGTCCTTTTCTCAGGGACTCGCAAAGCGACTATTAAGGTGCTGGCCAGGGCTGCACTCTCACCTGGAGGCCCGACCAGGGAAGGACTCCTCAGATGGCGGCTGGCAGCATTCAGTTCCTTGAGGCTGTAGGACTGTAGTCTTCAGGTTTTTGCTGGCTGTTGGCGGGAAGCGGCTCCCAGATCCCTGAGGCTGCAGCAGTTACCCACCATGTGGGGATTGCCAATGTGGCCAGCTGCTTCCTCACAGCCAGCCAGGGCGTGAGAGGTTCCTGCATGACGGGCACTGTCATCTTTTAGAACATAATCACACGCATCCTGTCACCTTGTCATAGTCCACTGGTTAGAAGCCTGTCAGTGGTCCTCCCCGCAGAGCAGGGAGCATGGGTGGGGGCACTTCGAGGGTCTGTCCATACATCCATCTGGTCCTTTCCCCCTTTCGTCTCCTTTCTTACTGCCCTCCTTCCTGTCCACATCCTAGTCTAGACTCAGACCTAGGGCTTTGTCAGTAAATGAGGGCTTTACAGTGATGATGGTAACAGGTGCTGTCACTTTATGCCGGGCACCAAGCTAGTTTTCTTTTTGACGTTCTATTGCAGTGTAATATGCTCAGAGAGATGGCAACCTCCTAGGTGTAGAGCTGGATGAATTTTTTTCAGTCTGAACCACCACACTGATCAAACGACAGGAAATTACCAGCACCCCAAATTTGTTCTCAGGCTCTATTCCAGTCCCAAACACCCTCAAGGTGAATGCCTAACAGCATAGATTACTTTCACCTGCTTTTGTACAGTATTCTTAACAGAATCCTCCAGCCTGTGGGATTTCGTGCCCAGCTTCCTTTATTCAACATGCTATTGTGGCCTGTGGTTCTAGGTTGTTCATTCCATTGCTGAATAGGATCCCATTGTGTGAACAGACCACAATTTACTCATCTGTGCTCCTGCTGACAGGCGCTTGGGTAGTTTCCAGCGGGGAGGTGTGACAAGTGGGGCTGCTACGAGCAGACTATTATGTCTTTTGGTGAAGTACTTCTTATATACGAGTACCTGGAGTGGGCTTCCTGGCCGTAGGGTACACGTGTTTTGGTGAGCTATGTTTACATACATGTTCCTCACGTCCACGCTGTGAGGAAGGCATCCTCCTCCCCTGTGCACCCCAGCTCTGGAGCCAGGCCCACCTCCTCCACGGGCCCTGAAAGAGCAAAGGGAGGAAAGGCCAGCGGGCACAGTGGCGAGTGTGGGCCTGGCCCTGATGTTTCCTCACTATTGACTACACTGTACTTTTTCTTAAGAGACCTAGTGTCTCGGAAGATGTCTGCATATCAAGCTACCAAGGGAATGTCCTTTGCTCATTTAATTCATATTCCGATTCCTTTATTAGTCAAAGACAAATCTAACCACAAAGCAAAGGATGTGACAACCAGCATGACAGAACGGATGTAATTTCAGGTAAAAGGAAAGAAAATCCAGGTTGGGGTTCACCTCTGTGGCCTCCACACCAGCACACAGGGTTTCTGTCGGGCTGTTGAAGCACCGGCAATATGCTGCCCTCCCCTTTGTGACGGAGGTCCCCCCCACTAAGGAACTCTGAGACCCAGGTGTGTCTGGAAGTCTCTGGTTTATGAGCAGTTCACTAATGCACAAGTCACTTGAGATCATCATTTTAAACAATGTTTCAAAGTCCCATCCATTTACTTTGGGCTTGTTCTTAAGCTAAAATAGATTCTCTGAAGGTAGTAAGGAACGTTTTCCAAACTGCCAGCAAGTGGCAGAAAGACTTCAGGCTCCTGCTAACACATGGGCGCACTTGCTTCTTCCAATTTGTTTCTCTGTCCTCCATCTGTGTGTGTGCGTGTGTGTGTGCGTGTGCGTGTGTGTGCGTGTGTGTGTGTGCGTGTGTGTGTGTGTGTGTCTGTATATCCATGGTGTGTATATTACACATATCTCATATATATATGTTAGAGTGACAGAAAGATATATATTTTAATCTCTACAAACAAAATTAGGATCCCACTGCATCTTATTTTTATCAGCATTTTTCCATGTGATTAAAAAAAGTAATTTCAAAATGTGATTTTAAAAAATGCCTTTTGGTAGTCCATCCCATGCAATACCAAGATGAATTTAACTAATTCTCTATTTTGGGACATTTAAGCTGCTTTCAGTATTTGCCATTGCAAATAACACTGCATGAATGTGCTTGTACCTCCACCCTTGGGGACAGCTCTGATGTCCTTCAGAGGTTAAATGACAAGACACTGACTAACCCACCACATGGGTTGGCTTTTGGAGGTTGTCTTTTGAGTCTCATTATCAAATACAACTTGATGCCACTGCCAACAGCATCTGAGGGTCTCTTTTTGTGCCCACGCTGGTAATTTTCTAATAGGAGTAATTTTTCTTTATTTTGTAGGTAAAACATGAGAGTTTGGTTTAAGCGGAATGTAACTGATTCCTGTGAGGTGAAATATGATTTTAGGTTTGCTGTCCATTTGTGTTTCTCCTTATTTCACAGGGTTTCCCTTTCCCCACAGGGTGCCAGCCCGGCTCAGGCAAGTCCTGTCCTTCCTTCTCCACGGGACTCACGTCAATCTCTCACAGCCGCCAAGTGCTTTGCAAACAGAACACGTGTCAGGAAAATGCACGCTTACAAGGTCCGCAGGGGGCCCGGCGGCCGCATTTGTCATCCCTCCAACGAGGAGGCCCGAGTTCCTCCCAGGGCTGTAAACCTCGCATCCCCCCGCGGGCCTCGCTGGACACCACTGCCCAGGGGCCATCCCGACCTAACAACTTCACCAGGTTTTTATACGACTGTGCCTCAGAGGAAGTGAGCCCCGCTGCTCGGAGACGCGAACAGCTATAAATCAGGTTCCAACGTGGTGCTGACTTATTTATCCTTGTAAGAGTTTTACGTTCTGAAGTCAGCAAGGGACTGGCTGCTGATCTCTGGCCCATGTGCAGTCATCTCTTCGGGGAAGCCCAGTCCCCTTGCTCAGTGGGATGGCATGTGCCGGGGGCTGATGGGAGCCGAGGCACCCCGCAGGACAGAGGCCTGGTCGTGTATCTCATCTGAACCTAATGTATCTTCCAGAGCCGTGGACACAGACAGGAAGCCACCACACAGCGGGAAACGCTTCCTGGCTGTGCTGAAACTGCTCTCCGGCCCCTCCCTGACCCCACCGAGTTCCTCCTCCTCCAGCGGGAATGTTTGCCTGGCGGCAGCTGCATCCTGGCAGACACCATGGTGACTCATTTCAGGGTCAACGTGGTAGAAGAGTGGCTTTCTGGCCTGTGGCTGGTGCTAATTAGCAATCAAGGCCAAGGCTGAACTCAGTGTCCTGCAATGAAGTATGCTACATCCTTACAAGAGATTGTTGGGCAACTATTAAAAACAATGTTTTCAAAATACTGATAAATGCTCATGACATGAAGTAAAATGAAAGATATAAAACTCACATACAGAATGTAGCATGGGATCCAGATGACGTAAAAGCCTAGCTAGAAATACTGTAAAATGGTAACCACGGTGACGTCTGCAGGTAAGGTTATGTATGGGTTTTATGTCCTCTTGTTATTATATTTTTAAAATTTTCTAAATTAAGTATCTGTGACTTTTACTTACCATCCCCCTCCGGTTGTTAATCTTTTGAACAACCAAGTCTGATGTGCTATGCCCCAGGCCGCTGAAGATTTTGCAAGTTCTTACTTGTTATTCAATTCCGTTCTCGTCATGTGGGAGCCGGAAAGGGGTGAGCTGTGAAACCACATCTCACTACAGATACTAGCCGCACCTGCCTCCCTCACGTGCTCCTTTCCCTCCTCCCGCAGGACGCAGACGTGGCGGTGACATCTCAGCAACAGTATCAGCCGAGGACCACCCCCTGCGCCAGAGACTGGACGAAAACTCGCTGGTGTCTTATTTGATCTTCACGACTCCTTTACAGGCGAGAAAGCTGCGTTTATTGAGGTTGAGAAATGAGTGGGTCTATCTTAATCCGCATACATTTGCGGGGGAAGGAGGGAGGAGAGGCCCCGGGACCTGCGGCCTGGGCTGCTGGACTGAGAAGCTGGCTGGGGCGTTGGATCAGCACGGGGCCATGTGTATGGATCTCTCTGACCAGGAGTGACAACCCTCTCGAGAATAACACGAGTTCACGTGGACAGAGTTCACAGGTGTCCTGCTCGTGGGAAGGAAGAGGTGGGACGCTCTCAGTCAGGAACGTGGCCCTCAGCTGCGCCTGCCTTGCACTCACCCTCACTGCTGCCGGCCTGGCCGGCGGAGGTAAGGGTTTCAGATGCCGGGCACCGTGCAGGCCCGGGGCCCCTGCGGATGACTTGGTGGCTCCCTGGGGAGCTGGGACCTTTCCTACAGTTTGCCTGGAAGTGTCAGCAGCAGATTGGGCCTCACCGGGCGGCCCCCCAACCCATGGGTGGTGCGGGCCCAGCAGTGAGATGGGGATGCTTGTTGGCCAAATGGGCTGTGAGGCGCTGATGTTGTGAGAATACTGAGTATTCCAGACAAGTAAATCCCACCTACTATCACGGAGACATGCAATTACACAGTTACATTTTTCCTATTCCAATATATAGAAAAATGCAGACTATCTGTACAAAACACTGTTTTTAATAAAACAAAAGCAGTTCATCATGAGCCCTGGGTACAAGGCTAGCCAGTGCCGAATGTAACTTGCAGGTGTTTTTCTAAAATAGTCGCCGAGCCTTGAGCACTGGTCTGCCTCAGCCATAGCCTGGACAGATGGCCCCGTGGGGACCTCCAAGCTCAAGGGCAGTTCTTCCTGGGTCAGGATCACAGGCTCTTGAGGTCCTCCAAGACCACGTGGGCTGCATTGCGACCAGCGGCTCCCATGACCCCTCCTCCTGGAGGGGAATCTCCCATGAGCCAAAGCTGCACTCCACGCCCCTCCCCCCGCCCCCGCCAGGAGCGGGCAGGGCCAGGGCTCACAGGGGAGCAGCGGCCAAGCAGAGTGAGGATGCCGGAGTGCTCTGGTGTGGGCCTCGGAACCACCCTGACCCCTGACCCCTGACCCCTGAGGAAGACAGGCTCTGGGCTCCCCTGCAGGTTTCCTGCCTCAGAGCTCTGGGGAGGGGCCGGGCCCACAGTCCACGCAAGTGCCCCTTTGGGTCTGAGCGCCCATGTGCCTGATGGGAGACCCTCAGCACGAGAAACTGGCACAGGACTGAGGGCTGGAGGGGAGGGGGGAAGGACAGGGCCCTCCTGGGAGCCCGAGCCCGTGGGGCCCAGGTAAGTGTGAGCATGAACGGAGGCCTGGGGGAGGTCAGTCACGCTGGGGATAGGGAGGGGAGAGTGTTTACATGGAGGCATTAACTTATCGACCCTGACTGGTCTGAATGAAGGAGGGGATTTAGGGACACGGGTGCCTCACAGTCCAAATGGAATGTGGGGAGATGCCTCGGGGACATACCCCCAAACCTCCTGAGGAGGGTGCGAGCTACCAGGCCTGTGGCTGTGGCCCGCCCGGCAGAGGGCACCAGGTCCCCCAGCTCCGAGAATCCCGAATGTGGGGATGGTTGTTCCGTGGGGGTCCCGGGCCCCTCCCTGCCTCCCTCCCTGTTTATCTGGTCCCCGTCCACATGCCTCTGACGTCCCGCCAGCCCTCGCCACCCACATGGGGCGGTGGGACGGGGGGAGGGGCACTCACCAGGGTGGGCCCCACTTCCGCAGAGGTACAGGCCGGGGAGTGGGCAGCGGTGGCCAGGGTGCAGGGGCGTGGGGCGGGCGAAGTAGAGCTGGTCCAGGGCCATGGCGCCGTGGAATATGTTCTGTGGAGGCAGCGCCACGGCGTGAACACAGGAGTGTTTGGGTCTTCACTCCCCTGTGCTCCCCAAGGGTCCCCCTTCCGGGATGCTCTGCGGGTTCTCAGGATGCAGAGAGGACACAGGGGGAAACCGGGGCGGGGGGAGCTTTCCAGGGGCATGTTTTCAGGAAGAAGGAAGGCGGGAGCATCTGCAGAGGCGAGGGAACCGGGACGCTGAAAGGGAGATTCTGCATGCTTTGCTATGGACTGCGGATCCCGCTCTGTTTGCAGTGAGAGGAACCCGACCGATTTCGGCCGCTGGCCCGGTCTCTTTGACCAGGACACCGTCTGAGCCTGGGCCCGGGGATCCACGCTCCACAGAAACACAGTAAGTGGCAGGCGAGGGGCCTGGGACCGAGCTCGGCTCTGCTCCGATGGCCTGGGCAGACCAGCCTGGCCGGGGCGGGGGTGAGGGGGCGGGCAGGTCTGGGCAAGAAGACGAACATCTATAGGATGTCACCACAGGGTGTGCTTCCAGCCGGCTTCTCAGCACGCCCCTCACCGACCTCGTCCCTCAAGCCTGCTCGACCTTCCTCTCCTCGGCCTCCAGGCGGACCCTCATGTCACCCCCGCCCACCTCATGCCTTCCACACCCACCCACTCCTTTCCCTCCCCCCTGCCTGGCCTCCTTTATCCTAGAGCTGGACCAGGGATCCAATAAAATCTAACGTGAGCCACATAGGTGACTTTTATTTTCTAGGAGCCACATTCAAATTTAAAAAAGGGACTGGTGAAATCAATGTCAATGTGTGTTTCATTTAACCCAGTAGACCCAGCACATTATCATTTCAACACGGGATCAATAGCGCGTGATGAATGAGACACTGTACGCTTTTCCCACACGAAGTCTTTGCAACCTGGTGTGCCTTTTACACGAGCAGCGCGTCCCATTTGGGCCCAGACACAGGGCCGCGGTCAGCAGCCACGGGAGGCTGGTGCCACTGGGTTGGGACTGGTCTCCTCACTGGCCCCCCCGCCTCCAGCCTCAGGGAGGCTTGGGACCCTGACCAGGAGCCTGAGGGCCAGCTGCCTGGAGGAAGGGCACTCCCTCTGAAGAAGCTCAAATGGGACGGGCGGCCATGGACGTCCAGGCGGAGGGACCCCAGGCCTGGTGAGCTCCCCAGCAGGTGCTGCCTCCCCTGCCTGAATCTCCCAGCTCTGCCCGCTCCCTAGATCGGGCCCCTCCTCTGTCCCTTCTCCGCCGTGGGCCCTGCTACTGTCCTCCCTTCGGGTGAAGGCTGTGTGTGGGGCCCCCTAGGGAGTGGGGTACAGAGAGAAGAGTGTGATGAGGGACCCCATACTTATTCTTACCCCTCCAGGAAGCCCAAAGATTCTCTCCAAGTCAGGTGGAGTGAGGATGTCTCTGCCCACCACGGAGCCCTTGAAGCCAGGGGCATAGGCCTCGATGCAGTCGAACACTGGTCCAGGCAGCAGGGAGACGGGGTGTTAGGAGGAGGCGTTATGGTTCACAATTTGGCAAGTTTACTGTAATTCATTAAACTATACACTGCAAATTACATCTCAATAAGCAAAATTAAATAGATAGATAGATAGATAGATAGATACAATCCTCAGGCAAATAAATAATTCAGTACAAAGGCCTATGGATCTCAGGCTAGTCCCACCTCCTTACCTCAACCCTCAACACAAAGTGATTTGTTTCTCCTTGACTGTGCAAAGCTTTCCTCGCCGCATCGCTTTGCTCAAGCTATTTCTTTTGCGTGGAATGCCACTTGCTACCTGGCTAACTCCTGTTCATCCTGTAAAGCCCCATTCCCACGGCCCCGGCTCTGGAAAGCTCTCCACGTCCCTCCGCCTCATGCTTCCTCCTTCGGTTCACACAGGACCTTGTGCTGTAAGATTGGTTTCCTTATTACTCAACCCACTGGACCGTGAGCCACTTGGGGGCAGGAACTGTGTGTTTTACTTTCTTAGCCCAGTGCCTGGCCCGGGCATTCACTATGCAGACTTAGTTCCCTTGGATAATTCTCTTCTCAGGGGACAGATCCTGCAGGCGGGGGATTCAGACCACCAGGCCAGCTGCCACTGCAGACAGGAAGTCTAGCGGAACTCCTTACCTTTGTCTGCATAAGCGTTTCTCTCCTGCTCATCCCAGACTTGGCCTCCGGCCAGGGTGTAGGGAGTGTACTGGGTGAAGAGGGAGACCACGTGGCAGCCGGGCGGGGCCAGCGTGGGGTCCAGGGAGGAAGGGATGCACAGCTCAATCATAGGCCTGTGACAGGAGGAGGGACGGTCAGATCCCAAGAAGCAGTTGCCCCAAGGGAAGGGGCTGGGGCTGCTCTGAGATGACAGGGACAAGAGGAAGGCCTGGGACCAGATGACGCCCAGGCCGGCGGATCATCTCTGTGAGGCCAAGGTGGCTGGTCACCGGCACAGGGGCAGTGGCCACCAGGAGAGTCCAGACTACTCCTGAGGGGCCCAGCCCAGCCCCAGCCCCAGGGTCTCTGGTCCCACGAGCCCCAGCCCCGAATGCCTGGCCTTCCCTGCCTTCCTCCACCACAGCCTGTAGAACAAAGGGTCTCAAATGTCCCAGGTCCAGACAAACAACACGAATGAGCGAAGGGGCCAGGCTAAGACAGCAGGCGCTTGGGCAGCCAGGTTTCAACCTCTCTTACCCCTGCCTGGTCGCCTGTCCTGAGCAGGCCAAGCAACACAGAGCTGCCGGGCACCAGCAGCCCAGGAACCGCCTCCCGCCCCTCCCTTGTTACAACACCTGTTCCGCCTGCAGCACAGTGTTCCTCTGGCCTCCGAACACTGCCACCCTTAGGCCACCGAGTGCCCCTTCTGCCCGCGTTCCTCACTTCAGCGCGTCCTCTGGGCTGTGTGTCCACTAGTCCCCTCCAAAGTAACTTGCCAAACCGAATGCCTGGGATCCGCTAGAACCCGCTCCTCCCTGCACACGCCTCCTACCCTCTCCGACATAGGAAACACCCTCTCCTGGGGCTTCTCTTTCTCATTCCTACCCCACTTCCTGCCCAACAGCCAATCCTGGCAGCTTTGCCTTCAAATACCCAGTATGTGGCCACTTCTCATCACTTCCCCCGCCCCACCCTGGGCCAAGCCTCCTCCACCCCTTCTCCTTGGGTTCTGTAAGAGTAACCATTGCGCAGACATCCTTTTCCTCCGCACAGCGGCCGCAGTGGTCCTTCTGAAATGCAGGCGAGGCCCCGCCCACACTCCCCTGGGAAAGTCCAGCGGTGGTGGGCAGCCCAGCAGGATGGAGCAGCTGCGGCTCAGACCCCTCCCGCTGCCCTTCACCCCCAGGTTCTCTTTCTCCAGCCACTCTGGCCTCATTCCTGTGCCTCCCACACAGCAGCACCCTCCTGCCCCAGGGCCTTTGCACCTGACTTTCCCTCCGTCTGGATGTTCTTCCTCAGATACCCACAGACCTCCTTCAGGTCCCTGCTCAAATGCAAAGTTGTTAGCGAAGCCTCTTCTGACCCTCTAATGAAGACTAGCAATGCCCCCCCCCTCCCCGCCCCCCGACCTATTTTTCTTCATGTCACAGTGCATGGCTATCTTGTCTCCACCATAAAATGCCAGTGACCTGAGGGCTGAGGCCTTGTTGACTCTGCTTCTGCATTGCACCCTGGTCCCTGAACTAAGCCTGTAACAGAGTAGGGCCCAAATATTTATGAATGGATAAGTGGGCTTCGCCCTCTACCCCTCTCTCAGGCCCCACATCCTCTTTACCTCGTGCTGTTAATGTTTGTGTGCCCACCTTATGATGAACTTAGTGTCTGCCTCATGCCCCTACCCGACCCCCGATCCCTTCAACCTGTGCCTATACAGAGCCTGGCACAGAATCGGTTTTCAGCAGGTTTTGGGGGACATGGACAGGATGGAAGATGCTTGCTCCCGAACATCCCTGTCTGTCCCTAGGCTGGAGACACAGCTGCGGTGCGGTGGGAGGTGGGAAACCCTTTTCCAAGTTTTGCATGAAGCAGCTTATCAGAGATAAGAGCGGATATGGAATCGGTGAGTGTGGGCCCCTGGGCAGGCGGCTGAATTGGATAAATGCCCTTTCTCTTCCGCATTTTCTCCAGTTCGTCCCAAACGCCAGCTCTGTTCTCTTCGCTCCTTCTGCTAATCCGTGCTACTTGGCTGAACCTGCTGCCCTCTTTGTCCCTTCCCTGCCCTGACCCATACTTCCTGCCTGGGATGCATTTCCTCGCCTTGGAATCTCAGTGTGGATTTAGGCAGGTCCTACCTCGTTGTGAATATTTAACACCAGGAGGAAGAGACAACCCTACTGTGTCTGGACAGTCGCCCCCGCCTCCCTAGGGCCATGGCTGAGAACACCCCAGGGATGCAAAGCCCAGGGACCGCTCACCTGTGGGAGGGCCGGCCATCCATGGCATCCTCAAAGGCCTGGTGGAGCAGGTGGGTGTCTTCACAGTTCAGGTGGATGGAGCACTGGTGATGGGGCAGCGGCTGGCCCCTGGGAGCATTGGGGGCCGCCAGGAAGTCAGGCAGCCGGTTGACAGCCACTGAGGAACCAAAGGAAGGGCTGGGTCAGGGCCCCACGGCCTGTGTCCTCTGCACCCCGGGATCCTCCTTCTCTCCCCATCACCCTGCTCACCCTGGGAAGAGAAAGTATGAAAAAGTGTTTCCCCTTCAAATCAGGGGCAGGCTGGAGGTCGGGGATAGAAATGATGATGAGGTCAGTTTCCCCCAGACCTGGACGCTGCTCACTCTGAGCATGGCCGAGAGACGGCCCTGCAGTGGGCTTTGCTTTTACCGTTGATCTTGGTGACAGGCGACCGGATGTCCAGCTGAGAGATCCTCTGTGTGAACTCTTCGGGAAGCCATTCCTGCAAGCGGAAGTTTCCATAAAGGCCTGGCCCCGAAGTGGCGGCCTTCCTCCTTTGCTCAGACCGGTCTCTTGACCTCTACTTCCGGAAATCCTCTCCATCCTCAGAGCTCAGCCAGATCCCCTCCTCCGTGAAGCCCTCCCCTCCTGCTCAGCGCTAACCACTCTTCCTCTGTGACCTGTCAGCAGTCCTGACTATAAATGGCCCACACTGACTCCTGCTTTCGACATGGCCAGCGGTCTGTAGGCCTTTCTCCTCCCATCCGTAAGCTGTTGGAAGTCTTGATCTCAGAAGTGCCTTAACAAGAGGCTTTTGAATGGATGTTTGTTGGATTTTAGTAGTGGAATCACTCAGAAAAAGAGGTGCTTGTCTCAAGAATAGCCCCAAGAATGGTTGGGAGCTCCGTGCTCATATCATCGCCTATCTTAGGGACAGGGGAGGTGTGGTCAGTTGCAAGAATTATTCCAAATCCTCACGCCTTTCTATGCATCCCTCTCTGTAATGACCTCCCTTCTGACCCTGGGGTTGGCCTTGAACAAGACCAGTGTGAATGGGATGCAACCCGAAGCCTGGAAAGGGCTTGCCTGGATGAGTTTGCTTGCTTTTGCCTCTGCCAGACACTGAGAAAATGCGAGAGGATGAAGGACGGTGGAACAGAGACACCCCCCCCCCCCCACACACACACACACCGGCCCAGGTCATTTGGGCAGAAACTGTCCTGCACTAGCCATGCCTCCTGACCCCCTGGCTGGCATGTGAGCGAGCCCAGCCCACGTCAGCGGGGCTCAGAGCTGATGGCAGATGTACGAGGAGCCCAAATCAGCTGAACTTAGCCAAGATCAACGGACTTCTCCAGCTCTCTGTGCTAAACCAGTAGTTCTGTCACATGCCCAGGAGTCCTGTGGCTGTTTGTGATGCGGCATTCATGTGGAAACAGGTAATCCACACAGGCCGTGGAGCCGGGGCTGGTTAGAAGGGAGGAACCGGGATAGCAGGACAGTTGTATAAATAACTCCGGGTCCCAGCTCTGGCTCTGTCCTTTGCCACCTGAACGGCCCAGGGCACCTCACCTCTCTGGACCTTTCTCCTCACCTGTGAGGCTCTGCCCTGTTTGTTACCCATCTGTGAGGTGAGAAAGAGGAGGACTGGCTTCCCCAAAGGTGGACAGACTTGGCCCTTGCATCTCCTACCCCCATGCAGTTCCAGCTCCCTCGATCACCCCATTTCTTAGCTCCTGTCTTGGCAGAGATCTTTAAAAAATTTGCTTTTTTTTATTGACTTCAGAGAGGTGAAGGGAGAGGGAGAGGGGATAGAAACATCAATGATGAGAGAGAATCATTGATTGGCTGCCTCCTGCACCCCCCTCCCCCAACTGGGTAATCGAGCCCACAACTTGAGCAGGTGCCTGACCGGGAATTGAACTGTGACCTCCTGGTTCATAGGTCAACCCTCCACCCCTGAGCCATCGGGCTGGGCTGGGCAGAGATCTTAACCCCCCCCCCCCCCCCCCCAGGCTCACCTTTGGCGTCAGCTTCAGGAAGGTGGTCTGGGGCGCCGCGTTGGACAGCACCACTTTGCTCCTCACCTCGGAGCCGTCCTGCAGCACCACTCCTCGCACGCGTCCTCCGCTGCTCACCTGCACCTGAGCCACCGTCTGGACCCCGCACCGTGAGGCCCCAGAAGCCCCCAGGAAGGAAAACGAGGTGAGACCTTGAAGGATTTCCATGGTCTCTGCTGCTCCTGGACATTCACAGCTTCCGCACCCCGAATCCACCGGCCGAGCTCGCAGCTCCTCGGGGAAGCCTAGCCCGCCCCTCCACCCGGAAAGCTCAGCCCAAGTGTGGGCAGTGGCAGTGAACTTGTCGGGAGCCAGGACCCGGTGGACAGCTGCGCAGCTACTAACAGGCTGCAGGACTGAGCCCCTGGACTCTGAGCCCCGCCCTGTCCATTGGTAAAATGAGGGAACTTGCGAATCTGAGGTTTTGGAAGGACCCTAGCCAACCATTCACCTTCCCAGTGAAGATACTTGCTCCGTGCGCGGTGGCTGAGCTTGCGATGGCATCCGAGAGGGCACCCATGCCTCCCTGGACGTAGCCCCAGGCCCCGGGCATCCCCTCCAGGCCCCCCATCACGTGATGCAGCAGCACATACCTGAGGGCAGATCATCAGACTCAGTGGCCCGAGGTGGCATTTAATCTCCTCAGAGTTCAAGGTGCAAATATTCTACCCTGTCTTGTACCTTCAGCCTCTCTCTTCCCACCCAACCTGCCCCACTAGCCTTTCAATGGGCTTAGGCTCTTGTACGAGCCCTTTGCTTCCCCATCCCAGTTCTCTCCCCGTGCACACGTGTCTGGTGCTGCAGCTCCGGCTCTCTCCTGCGCTCCAGTCCGTCTGTCCAGCTACCCACTGAGATCCCCATTTGCATGGTTTCTTATCAGGCGTCTTAAACCCAATCTTTGCCCCCATCCACCAACCTGTTTCTCCCTCCCCACCCCAAAGAACGGCATCTTCAGTTTCCAGAAGAAACCTGCCTCCTACTAGTCGCTCACAACCTCCATCCAACCACGTGCTGTCACCTCCGCCTGTGAAGAGCTTCCTGCCCCTGCTCCCTGCGGCTCCTTCCCGGGTCCAGGCCACCTGCTCTCCCGTAAACACTGCAGTGGGCCTTCCTCACTGGACCACCTTCTCCCGCTCTCTCTTCCCTGCAGACCTTTCTCCACGTAGAACCTGGAGTCCCAACTCAAAACCCAGCTATGCCCTGGCCCTCCTCTCCTGTCAAACCTTCTCGGGCTCCTTGTTGGTCGTGGCCAGAGTCTGAAAAGGGCCCCCAGGGCTCCTGCCTGATCTTGAGCCGCATCCCCCCCCACGCCCCCTGCCAGCCCAACTCCTACCAAACGGAACCTCCTTTAGTCCCTCGAATAGGCCACCTGGTTTCTCAACTCCCAACCTTTGCACATGGAGCACAGCTGCCTAGGGCCCCTCCTCCCTCGTCTTTTGCTTCACTAGTTCCTCCGTCCTCAGAGGCTCAGCTGAGCCGGCAACCTCTCCTGCAGGGCTTCTTTGACCGAGAGCACGTTGTCCTGCCTCCTTCCCGTCCCAGCACCTCGGCACTCGGCTGTCAGTGCCTGCTCTGCGTCCGCCTCACCCACAGGACTTCAGCTCCATTCTCTGCTGTCGCCCTACACCTCGCACAGACAAGTGCTCCACCAATATTTATTGAAAGAATTAATGAAGAAACAAATTACTTAAAGCCACGTTTACAACCTGGGCAGTAGCTAAGCCTCCTGGAGGCCCACAGAGAAAAGGGTAGGAAGCCTCAGCTGGAAGATCCCCATTGATTGTTTGAGCACAGAGCTTGGCCGAGGTGTGGCAACTGCTGCCAGCCCCCCTTTTCCACGGCCCTGGGGAATGGGGGGCTGGCTTAGTGCACGCGGGAAACCACTTCCAAGGGGCGCTCCCTCCCTTGAGAGAAAAGACACATTGACAGCTTCTAGCTGCATCTTCTGGTGCTTTGGACACAGCCCAACACCTGGCAGCATCCTCTGTCCCAACACACAACCCGCCCTTCCTGCTCTCGCGGGGCTTCCCTCCGTCCTACCGCAGCCAAGGACTCCACTGCGTGTGACTGCCCCCTGCTGGCTCAGGCTGTTAGCACACCCCGCTCACAGAGGGAAGGCGACTGCCCACCCTTACCCAGGTGTCTGTGTGTGAGCCTGTCCTGGGACCCAGGGAAATGGTCGGTGGGAGGGGGAGGGGCAGCAGGGCTTCCTGGGCGGGGAAGAGATGGGAAGAGGAGTGAGGGAGAGAAGAGGAGAAAGGGTGGGAAGAAGATACATTCACGTGAGATGTCACCGTGGGAGGTGGGTGAGAGGCTTTTCTTACTGAAGAACAGAGAGTAGCAGCTAGGAAGGACTTTTTGGGGGTCAGACAACTTGGGCTGCAAATCAGCCCTGCCACTTCGTAGCTGTGTGACTTCGGGCAAAACACTTCCCTTCTCTGAACCACGGCTCTTAGGTCCTAGCGTGAGGGTCAGATGGATCGTGTACGGAGTGTGTGGCTTCCTGCTTGGCTCACAGGGTGAGCTCAGTCAGTGACTGTTGTTATCACGCTTTTGGGGGAATTCGCTCCACTCCCACTGCCCCACCTCGCCTCCCACACTCACCCACTGCCTGGAGTGTGGGGACTTGTCATGGCTCCAATCACAGCATCCGTTGCTAGAGTAGCTTTTAGAGGCTCTGACTCAAACCACTGATCCAGCACCTGGGACAGTAACATAGCAAGGAGAAGAGCTTAGGGCCACGGGGGGGGGGGGGGGGGGAGAGAACCCCTCACCGCAAGGCCCTGCCTGAGGCGGGGAGCCCCTCACCTTGGTAATGGGAGCTGTGAGGACCTGGTAATACTGGGGCAGCTGGGCCCCCAGGATGCGGCCTGAAAGAGAAGACCCACAAAACAAACTGACAGGCGAGAAGGAAACGCTGTGATCTGCATTCTCTCCACACTCGATTCTGGACTCATCCACGAGGTTTGCTTGGTCAGTGGAATGCTTTAAGTTGTGATGCAAACAGCGGCTTGAAACTGGCCTGCACATTGGGTCTTGCCCTCTGAGCTTCTGCCATTAATGTAAGAAGGCCTCGACTAGCCTGCAGCTCCCAGGAGGACAGGCGCCTGGAGCATAGCTGCCCTAGCTGATCTGCCCCAGCCACCAACATGTGTGAGACCAGACCAGATCAGCTGAGCCCAGTTGGCATCAGCTAAACCATGCAGATTTGTCAGAAATTAATTTTTATATGCCACTGAAGTTTTACAGTTTATGTAGCAATTTTGTGGCCATAGCTAACTGTTTCAGTATTTTTCTAGAATACAGAAGCTAAACTGGTCTTTATAACCTGGAGGAGTAGAAAAGAATAGCATGTGTAGCCAAACTGCCCTTTTCATAGCCGTGTCAGACATCACTAATCAATCACAGAAGTTTTTCCTGCTAAGCCCCAATCTAGCATCCTCTTCAAACTCTCCTGGCCCCTCTCTCTAACGACCAGGGCCAGGCAGGCTTCCATCAGCTCCACACGGTGCCATCGGCAGATCTCACCTCACGCTGTAAGGTGCGCCTCTTCATTTCAGCCTTGGGGCTTCTCTGGCCCCAAGACAGGACACCCACAAAAGACCACCTGACACCCATGGATGCCCAGTCCTATGTAGGAGTTAAACCCCCATGGGGCAACCTTTGATCACTGGGAGATAGAACCTAATGGAGAAAAGTTTCCCTTTTTTCTCTGGGGACAGGTCCTCACGAGCATCTCCCAGGGCTTCTAGGGGGTCCTCTCGGGACCCAGCACCTGTCACCTGCGTGGTGGCCCGCACAGCAGCACGCTGGTGTGGACTCCCCCTCTTCCCTGGATCACCCTGCAAAACGAACCGCTCGCACGTAAGCCTTTGTGTGGGCCCTGGTGTTAGGGCACGCCAGGCATGCCCTCCCCGCCGACCTCCGGGCAGCCGTTAATGGGTGTAAGCTGGCAGGCTGCCTTGGAGGCTCAGGCTACGTCTGGTCGTGGCGACAGTGGGCTCGGCTCCGGAAGGTCACTCATCTGCCTGTGCCGGCCGGGACTTACCTGCCTGCAGCAGGGGTGCGAGGGTGGAGAGCGCCCGGAGCCTCTGCAGCAGGGAGCCCCGCCGGAAGGCCTCCATGTCCACGGGCGCTGCGTCCAGCAGAGGGTCGACGGCTGATGCCAAGCGATTCATGAAGGCCTCGTATTTGGGAAAAGCCTGGAACAGAACCCCAAGTCCAGGCCCTGATGCCTAGAAGGGGACATGGCCCCATGCTCTGCCCTTCATGCTGCCCCCATGTGGCCGCCGCCCTCAGCGGAGCCTCCTGGTCCTCTGGCCGCTGCCCCGCCTCTCAGTGTGGCTGTGCTGTCACTCCCTGTCCGGGTCTGTGCTGAGGTCAGTGTGGCTGTGCTGTCACTCCCTGTCTGGGTCTGTGCTGAGGTCCACACCAGGGGAGGTCAGAGCGAGTCTGGGCCGTGGGAGAGCCATCGGGCGGTGGCAGGAACAGGGGTTAAGCTGGCCAGGACCAGTCGTCCGCCACAGGAACCTGGCAAGTACCCAGGATGTGGTCTCCGCGATAAACCAAGAACCACGGAGCAGTTCCTTCTTTCTCTGCCGTCTGCCGTGCATTACTGAGGGGAAGTAGGATCCTTTCCCCGCTCTCCAGCTTGCCGACTGCTCCTTCCTGCTCTGCACCCTCCCACGTCCTCTCATCACAGCAGGACCAGGTCTGCACCCCTTCACCCCACGAGCTCCCACGACAGAATCCACTTCGATACCCACCCTCCTCCCCTGGATGGGCGACAGGAGCTGGGTGGCTGCCTGTGCCCTGGAGGCCTTATCTTCATTTTCAGCCCAGAGCTCTTAATTTTTGGTTCATCCAGACTCACGGATATACCCACGGATTTAATTGTTACACAAAGGAAAGTTCTGCGGGAGGCCTTTAGAATGACCATCGACAAAGACGAAGCCAGAATAGAGGCCCCTGACTTCCCACAGCGGATGTGCCCTGCCTCCCGCTCCTGTGGTCGGCAGCACTCCAGGCCACCGCCCAGTCCCACAGGCCCCGGGCCCTGGCCTTGTCCTTAATGCTCCCTCGTGCGTCTGAAGTGGCAGGGTTTGGAGCACAGGGTGGAGGCAGTGGTCCCTGACCCAGTGCACAAAAGAATCACTTTGAAAACAAAGCCACGCTCCCTGGGCGACCCTGACTGTCAGCCGGGTTTGGAAATTGCTGGTTGAAGAGATATTCCCTGGTTATAGACTAGCCTCACAAAAAGCAACACGCATTGATTACAGTAACCTAGGTTCTTATAAAAATGTCTGCACAAGATCTGAGTTAAGGCCATGCCTTCAGCTTATATCTAGGCTTAGTACAAAAAATAGCCATTTAAGGAATCTTTTTATATCTGCAAACCAATCACACCAGGCCCATTATATTCACTAACTCGTTAGACAAAGCTACCCAACAAATTCCTTATAATGCAATCCCAGAGAAAAGCCTGGGAAAATCGTGCGTTCGCTGTCAGATGCGCTGCTTCCGCTCAGCAGACCCGCACGCCATCGCGTACAAGTTCTTGCCTTGGGCTGTCGGGGGATTGACGCCAAATCGAATGAATATTTATTACAACCTCCTTGTCCTAGATTCCTGATCCAGTTCATTCTATCCTTAATCGTCTCTGATCCGCCCTTGATCCTTCGTCTTGGCCTCCATGTGCTTTAATATTGATAACCACTTAGAGTTCTGTCTGAAAGCAGCGGAGACAGAAGCGCACAGTGTAAGCACCTGCCAGCGGCCTCCCTCTGACACGCAGCAGGCAGAGGCCGTCGGAACAGCGGCCGCGTCCTGAACGCACAGGTGTGAGTGGCTCCATTGTCCACTGGTCTTAACCACTGACCTCCCCCCTTCTCTTCGCAGTGCCCAAGATCGAGGGCAGGTGGGGTGGCCTGTCCGAGCCCCCTGGCCCTTGGACCTGTGCTCCAGGACAAGTCCAACTAGGCCCGTTTCCTTTCAAGAGCCGCCTGCAGGCGACAGAGGGAGGAAGAGGTCAGTCGCCGGTCACTTTCCCTACCTGGGCATCCTTCTGCGAGAACTGGGCAATCTGCCTCTGGTTTTCCGCCATGTCTGTGCCCAAAAGTAGGGACCTGGGCGCCTTGCTCCCCGTGCCTTCTTCCAGCATGGGGGTGAAGGAGTGGGGGTTTCGAAGATGAACTCTCAGCCCATGTTTCTGCAGGACACAGGCAGAACAAGCAACATTGGAGGGATTGTGGCCTCTGCCCTTTGAGCTTCTCTGGTTGTGTTTACGACCATTGAGATACCTGCATGCAGGTTCCCACGGTCCTGATTCCTATTGTTTAGTAAAAGCCCCCGTGCCCAGGCACTCTGTGGCAGACCATATCACACCACATCACACCAGGACACACAAAGCCACACCATTCCATGTCACACCGTCACACCACCTCATATCACATCACAACACACCACAACACACAAAACCACACCGTCACACTATGTCACACCACATCATATCACATCACACCACAACACACCTTGCCACACCACTCCGTGTCCCACCACTCCGTGTCACACCACGCTACCCTGTGCCAGGGACTGTCCTAGGGTTACAATGGTCAGCCCACAACAGCTCTATACCATCTTCATTGTACAAATGCAACAACTGAGGCTCAGGGCCATTAAATAACTTGCCCAAGGTCACAGTGGAAGGTAGATCGGGTTTCAAAACCACATCTCTGACTCAGAAGCCCTGGCTCCCGCTCCTCACTAGTTTACAGCTGCCCCCGCTCCAGAAATAAATAATTAAAATTTGGAAAGACACAATAAAAAAACAATTATGTGAAAATCCATACTTACAAGGTAGATAAATTATTCACATCAAAAATTTTTATTTACTTTGCAGACTCATTTACTCCAGGGTCACCTTAAATGGAAGTTCCCTTGATGCATTTAAAATATGATTTGACTTACAAATATTTGAGGAGCACACAGAACCTTTCAGGAGCACATATTTTTTAATTTGTTTTATTAATAAAGCTATTAATCATGTGAAAAATTCTATTCTGTGACTCTCCGTTTTCAGAAGCTAGATTTTTCACAGGAGGGTCTCCCCCGCCCCCTTCCCCACCGCGGCTGCCTCTGCGCACAGCTGGTGCGTCTGGACGTGCCGCCAGCTCTAGGCTGGTACGGGCTGAGGACCAGAGGCCCTTTCCCATCCTTGGCTACCTTTCACCCAGTCCTGGCTGGTGATGCTCTCTCTCTCGGGCTCAAAGAATAATTTCCTTAGTGCGTTTCCGTAGTTATCTAGTTTGGACAACTCCTCTACATGAACCAGTTCAAGCAGCCCAAGAGCTGTGAACAGTGGCTCAACATCCTATCAATTTCAAACTTCCAATTTAGAGCAAAGTTGGCGCTAAAGCGCGTGCGGCCTCCAGCACAGGTGGCACAGGGGCCTTTTCTCTGGGCGACAGGCACCCGCAGGGAGGGGCTCAGCGGCCCGGGGCTGTGAGCAGTTTATACAAGAGGCAGCGAGGGGTGAAAGGAATGTGGAGGGGGGGCAGCGCTGGCCCAGCCTGTGACCAAGGCTAACCCAAGAGAGGCAGCAGGGGCCACTGAGAGGGTTCAGATGGCTCCCAGCAGCCCTGGGGCCGGAAGAGGTGAAAGTCCCTCCGCTCCTGCTCCGGCTGCCAAGGAGACAGCAGGACCTCAGCTAGACAGGCTCCTGGCTTGAGGTAGCTTTGCAAACTCGGGGCTCAAGGGTTCAGGCAGGCTCCCGAGGGCCAGACAAGTCAGGGCTGGGGGCAGGCAGGGCTGGGGACCTCCGCCCCACGTGGGGATCAGTGCTGCATGGAGGAACACGGGCCTCGTGTTGATAAAGCTCCTCCATTAAAATAAGTCTGATTTTTATGTGAAAGTTCCCGATTTTTAAGACACTGGGTGGACTAGACCAAACCATCAGGGAACGTACCAAGGAGACTGTGGACAGATAGGCCCTCAGATAGAAGCGAGGCCTCAGGTGCCGGGAATCACCTTGTGGGGAGCCTCACCCCAGGGGGAAGATGGAACTAACCCCCCCTCCCCCCCAAGGCCGGCCGCAGCAAGGCTCTACCTTCAGCTCCAGGTCAGTGTAGATCTGTGGTCTCAGCAGGCTGAGGAGGTAGGATGCTCGGGAGAACTTGAACCCTGAAACCGAGTCACATGAAGACAGTCACGGGCGGCCACTGGCGGTCACCCCACCACTGCCCCCCCTCCACCACCCGGGCTCACCTGGAATGATCTCCTCCGTGACAGCTGCGCCCCCGATCACATGGCGTCTCTCAAAGACGGCCGTGCTCACCCCCGTCCTCTGTAGGTAGGCCGCCTGGGGGACACACAGCACCCTCCCTGCACCCTGGTGGCCGCCTGTAGTCTCAGGGGCCGCACTGCAGGCCAGCCTGCCACCCGGGCTCACGCCGTTCCCGCCTCTGGGAAGCCGTTCCCCTTGCTTCCCCTGAAACTCGCTTTCCCAAAAGTCTTCTAAGATCCCACATGACTGCTCCGCCCCTCTGCTTCCTGGCTGCCTCTCACCTTCCCTCCAGGCAGGCCCAGGAGCCTCTGGGAACTCAGGCCCCCTCCTCCAGGCAGGGCAAGCCCCCCTCTTCGCACCCCCCCCCCCCCCCTGCTTCCCCCATGAGGCTGGAGTGACTGGGCTGTGAGCGCTGAGCCTGACCTCCGCTCCCCATGGCGTCTACTCCTCTCCTGCCTGGGCAGGTTCCGCACGGAGCCACCTGGCCTCCATCTCCTCATGTGCAAAATGGGGCCATGGTAACGATACCCACTTCACCTGGCTCGCGGGCTGCTGGGAGGGTTCCCTGAGCTGGGCGCTGGCTCAGGGAACGTGCCCAGAGAATGAAGCTCAGACTGCAGTGCAGCCTCATTTGGAGGAACAAATGATGGAGGGATTTTAGTAATTTTTCTCTAGCACTTAGCTGTAAATCAATAAATATTTGTTTTTTTGTAGAATTAGTCGGGTTTTGAGCCTATGCCGGTCCTCTCACCACCACCCAGGTGACAACAGGGATGGAATAGTTCAAATGGTATAGAACTCAGACTTTTAAAAAAAGTTCACTTGGCAACGACAATGTGCCAGACACTGGACTGGGTCAGCTCATTTAATTCACCCAGCCCTCGAGGGAGAACTAGAATTCCTCCCATTTCACAGGTGAGGAGACCGAGGCTCAGTGAGGGGCATCGCTCTCCTCAGGCTCACGGAGCTGATGAAGAGAGGGGCTGGGAACTGAACCCAGCTGGCCTGGCCCAGGGCCCATGCTCCCCACACATCCGGGTGGGAGAGGAGAGAGAACAGCTGACCTTGGGGAGCCCGCCTGGCCCCCGGAGGGGAGCCTGTGTGTCCTGCTGGAAGGACCACCTCCGACCAGGGGCTGAGAGCACAGAGACCGAGACAGAGCAAGCCCCTCACAATTCTAAGCACAAACGCAGGGGCTCTGGGCCCCCACAAAATGCCAAGCGCTCCCTTTCTGGGCCGAGAGACGGCTGCTTCGTCACCAGTTCCCGTCTCCTCCTGCCTCGACACAGACAAGATTCATGGAGATGGCGGTCGCGGAGTTGTCCCCCTTTCTGACAGGGTCCAATCGAGAGCAAACCCTACTGCTAGATGCCCCTCAAATCATCCAGCCACAGCGCAGGTCCTCCCACCGCCCCCTCACTGAGCGCCTGGGTCCCCGGGGGTGCGGTCTCCTTGCCGCCAGGAGCCAACACCCAACTCGATGAACAGCAGGGCCCGGTGGCCTCGGCTGGAGACCTCCAGCAACGAGTCAGCATCGAGTCCCTTCACAACACTGCGAGGCCCTGTGTTCCCGTGGCTCAGAGCTGGCGTGACTTGCCTGACCCTCCCCACGTAGGCAGAGCTGGGAGACAAGCCCAGGCTCGTATGAACACAAAATCGATGTTTTAAATGACTGATTTCTCCCCCTGTAAAATGTTCAAGTAAAATGGACGTGTCGGGGAAAGTACTGAGACTTACACGCCTCATCGCTCCGGCACGGCTAGGCCCCCTACATTGATCGTCCAGAGCGGCCACCGCTTCCGCACGATGTCCCGTGTCTGCCTTGGGTCCTGGACACCCTCTGGCACACTGTGGCCTCCTAGGAGCCCACGGACTCAGGTCCGAGAAGCACGGCCACGGGTAACCCTGGCCTGGCTCAGACGGCACCTCCCTGCTGCCCTGGCTTCCTTGCTGTCCCAGGGTGCACCTGGCCCGTGGGGCTGCTGTCCACTCCGGGTGGTGCGTGGCCTGGGCCCAGCTGAGAGCACAGGCCTCGGCACACAGGACTGCACACACTCGGGAGCATAGATAGGCCCGCCCGCTCGGTACCTGGTCCCCAGGCTCCAACACGTCTCCCAGGTGGTGCCAGTTACCCACCCACCTCCCCAGCTTCTCATCATTTCGCCTCTGAAGTTCCCTGACTCCTCCAAGGCCAAGGGGAAATCCATCGCATGAAGGAGAGGGGAGGAAGGGGAGCCCCCAACACCCTCCTTAACTCCTGCGGATTCCATTCCTCCCGGCCACTGGTCAGCACGAGGAGAGAGGACGGGCCTGCCTTTCCTTCCCTCCCGTGGCTACTGAGAGCCACATGCCAGGGGCCAGTGAAGCGTGGCAGGGGAGGTACTCACAGCCACCAGCCCGTTGTGACCTGCAATGACACAGGGAGGGGAGGGAGGCAGCATGGTCAGCAGGCAGACAGACACCTTCCCTGGTGGTGTGGTCACCCATCCCTGCCCCACGCCTGGGAAGACACTGGAGAGGGAGCAGAAACCTGGGGTCCCCCCAAACTTGCACCTGGATGTCAGAACAGCATCCAGCCTGATGCCCTGAGACTCCTGGTCTGTGGGGAGTCAGAAACCCCGGTTCTCGCCCGGGCCTGGAAGATGTCCTTTCCCCTGGCGTGGCCTGGGGCTCCGTGCTGGAGTGGGTGGTGCGGAGTCCACGTGCATCAGAGAAAGCCATCCCGTGGAGCCTCATATCACTGAGCTTCCTCACGTGGGAATGAGGGGTGACTGTCGGGGGGAACGTGGCCGGTGCACTGATGCTGGAGGGCCCCGTCTGGCGCGGAATCAGCGGCTGCCCAGGTAAGGGCTGGTCGTGAGGACGGTTGCTGTCCTGGCTCACTTTGCCAAGTGTGGTTCACAGCAGTGGCCCAGACGGCTGTAGGCACATGGCTTTGTCTTTGTCACCCCCAGCGCTCCCCAAGTACAATCAGCACAGTTCGAAAGGCAGGAACTCAACTCCACCGTTGCCATGTGTGCTAGAGTAGCTAGCGTGCGTCAGGGAGCCGGGGATCGGGTGGACTTACCGACCTTACACACAAATTTCTTCCCCAAAACCGTAGGATGCCGCCTGCGGGTCAGGAGCCCTGAACTTGGCTTGGGAGCCCAGGTCCACGCCAACCCTCCTGGTAGGAGTGCCTCCCCAGCTTGAGAAGTGTCAGGACCACCAGAGCCCGTGTGAATGCCGAGTGTACTCAGCAGGCGGGTGGTGGGGCCTGGTACGGGGTCTCGCCCTCCCAGGTCATTCTGACACAGGTGGTCCCGGGGCCTCCTCTTTCCTTAGTTTCAGGAGAAGGTGCAGCTGCCAATGGATCCTTGTTGGGCAGAGAACAGGCCCCGGACATTTTCAGGGAAGGAGGCGGGCGCAGTCTGGACCACTGGGCATGTGTCTGTCCTTGGTGATGAAAGGTCGCTCTGCATCTTTGAGACGTCAGATGACTGTTCTCTGAGCACCAACCTGAACCCTCTGTTGACTCAAATAAAACGCTCAACTGATAATTTCACAAACATCCATAAATAGGGGAGCAGCAATGACCCGCATGATGGCTTTCTTCACTGCTGAGCTGATTTTAAATTTTCCACATAGAAACTCCCAGAGTTTTAGAGGTCATTGAGCCGACCTCTCACCCACTCCAGGAATCCCTTTTCAAACCTCGCCAACCAGGATCCGTGGGAGGAAATGCATCTTACATGCTGGCCTGGCACACCCTCCACATGCAAGTGTCTTCACAGAAACATCAACTCTTACTATGTGATAAGCAGGTGATGATCTATTAGATAAAATTTTATTTTTTAAAATGCTGGTGGATATACTATTTTTACACACTTTTGAAAATTCTCTTAAGAAAGTTTAGAAAACATTGCTGGGTGGGACTCATGAGTGGGTTGCCACTGCAGTTTGAAAAGCCCTGCTCTCAAATACATGCACCTGCAAGGCCGCTGTCCTGGCTCAGCCTGGCTCCCGATAGTTCCAGGCATGGCCCGAAAGCCAGTGTCACGGCTAGGAGCCTCATGCTTCCTCATGTGCGAAACAGGATGCTGGGGGCCTTGCAGTGTTGCCGAGAAAACAACCAATAATATATGGAAAGCCCGGCCCTTAGCAGGCCCACAATAAATGGTAGCTATTTGTTCTTTAATTAGTACTGATTGTGAATCTTGGAAAACTAATAAAGGCTTCCAGGCAACTAGGTTCCAGTTCAATCATCACAGATAAGCCCACAAATGCACAAACATACCTCAGATGACAGGAGTCTGGGATCCGATATCCCAGAACCCTCCTCACGGCAACCCTCACCCCCCAGTCCTGGCTGAGCCCTCCTGTGGCTTCTGGTGACCTCCCCCTGCCTCCTGCAGTGGCCTTAAGCTGCAGGCAGGCTCAGCTGATCCCCACGCCGACTCCTGGGAGCCATGGGCAGCAGGCTCGCAGGGCTCCACGGAGAAGCTGCTCTGAACAAGGGCTCTGGAACGTGTGGGCTGACGCTGCCTGCATGGGGTCCACTCACAGGGCTGGTTAGACATGTGGACCTCCGGAGCCACCTTCAAGCCCGAGAATCCTAATCGCCAGGCCCAGGGCCCGGACCTGCATTTTAACAAGCTCCTGCCTGGCTTTCTTAGGCATGCTGAGTCCGCTGACTACATCGGGGTCCTCTTCCAGGTGGCTCCCAGCTCCTGGTGTGACTTCAGGGATGCAGAGATGAGGCCTAGAGTCAATCTCCCTGCCAGGAAACAGCCGGGCGAGCTGTCGTCATGGGCGGAGAAAGGCAGAGGCCCCCTCTGAGGCTGAGAGACGGGCGCTTCCATTTACTGAGCTGTCAGTGCGGGTGGAGCTGGCTGTCCCAGCCTAGGACGTGGGTGAGCCGTCGTCAGAACAGCCATTGTTAAACATTAACTTACTAAGCTTACAATGAAATAAATTATATTAAAGACAATATTCATACTGTCACTTCCTGATTATTGTACATGTTTTACTATGGTCTATATGCTCTTGCGGTAATTACCTCTGTGCATCCGTTCGGCAGCCGTGCTAGGTAACGGCGGGCTGCTGTGTATCCCACTCAGACTCACATCCAGCACGCCATTTGGCAACTTGAAAAAGGCCATGGCGAGAGTACTTACACCATGGGGATCAGCCGGCACTACACGGCGGGCTTGATTCGTTATCCTGTTGATAGGCTTGAGAAAGTGGAGAAAATGCTAATTATGCAGGTTACACTTAACAGTGTGTTGTGTCCGTGGCTGGAGCATCGCGAAAAGCACAAACAATGGAGGGAATGTTCTTCCAGTGAAAGTATTATTGGATGGAGGAAAGTCGGTCCCATCACTGAAGGAGTGAAGTTCGGACATAATCTTCGCGGTTTCACTTAGTTCACTTTTGTTCTACTCTTTAACGTAAATGAAAACATCAGACATTTTTTGGAACTATCCTCATTTGTCAATTGCAGCCATAGGTTGGCTACTGAGTTTGGCAAAAATCACAGACATTTGGTGAGAATCACTTGGCTACCTGGAATGTAGAGCACCGTTATTTTACCTGTAAAAATGTGCTCTGTTGCTTTTATTTCAGCATCGCTACTAAGCTGATGCATGGGTGCATTTGCACACGTTTCCCCTGGAGGGGTGACTGTTAAACATTGACTGGCACACGGCTGCTCTCAGCACATACGAAATGAAGGAACGCCAAAACATGGTGCAGCTTTAAAGCTAATGGGCACAGTCTCCTTCCAGTCCTGGCATCTCTCTGTATAAACCCAGTTGGAAATAATCCCAAAAGTTGAAACTCAGGCCCTCTGTGTGAATGGCAGGCCGGTCCTGCCTGCAGCCCCGCAGGCACCCGGTGGGGTCGGGGCTCTGAGCCCGGGGCCAGCAGGACCCGTTGCAGATTCCACACCCAGACGTGCGCGGCGGGGGGCTGTCGCCCTCTGCGGACACGCACAATCATCTCTGGGACTCGTTTTTACTTGTTTTCTGACTCCCGTTTGTGAAACGATCCGTTTCCTCCGGGGATGGGTGGCCTCAGTGACGAGGCTGTGTGACCAGGACTCAGGCCCTTGATGTGGCTGGACTCCACCGGTCTGTCTTTCTAACCTGTAGGTAACGTGCTTTTCAAGAATGTGGTGGCAACCAGCAAATTTCACAGGAGAGAGAATGACCTAGTCCTCCTCCTCATTGTAGATGGGAAGACCCAAGCCCAGAGGGCAAGAATCTGCTCCAAACCACACAGAAGTCCACGCCAGAGCCCCAGGACCCGCGCCTGCTGGCAGACTGTGGCTTCCACCACAGCCCCTCTCCCTTTTGCCCCCTCTCCTGGCCGGCTAGTGCCCAGCAAACGGAAGGCTGGGGAGGGGTCCCTCCAGGCCTCTGGGCAGAGCTGCCTCCCCGCCCTCAGCTCTGGCTCAGCGCTTTACCTGCTCCTATCACCACCGCATCGTACTCAGGCTTCGGGCGCCCCGGGGCTTCCCAGTGAGCTCGTCTCCACGCAGGACAGGGCCAGGCGCTCACGGTCCTGCAGAGGCCTCGGCCACTTGCAGCCATTTCTGCTCAGCACTCGGCCAGTAATTTGCTTGCCATCAGCGTTTGTGCCTCCTCAAGGGGCGGGGGAGCAGGGAAAAGCGGGAAGAGAGGAGGAGCTGCAGTCCTGTTGCCACACCTGGCCCGGGGCCAGGCCTAAACCGAGGACGCTGAGCTGCACACGCCCCTCCCCCACCGAGTCCGCCCAGGGCAGCGCTGCAGAACTATAACCCGCAGAACTCCTGTGGCCTTCGGAGTACTCTCTGTGCTGGTAATTCTCAAGGCCCCCATGAGCCAGGCGCTGTGCTGCCCAGTCCTGAAGCCCCTTCCGTAAGCCCCAGCACTCCCATTCTACAGCCGAGGGCACTGAGAAAGGTGTGTGAGAGCAGTGAGGGGCTCTGTGCTGTCCTGCTTCTCAGCAAGGAATGAAATGCCCGGGAGGTGCTGAGGTGGGAAATCTGAGACTCGGGTTTGACTGCCTCTCGCTCCCTGACCTGCCGGCCTGTAGGGTGGTGAACCCCTTGGGGAGCCGCTGGCCCAGCACCCCCTAGCATGGCCTTGCTTGCGGCCTCGGCAAAGCTGCAGGGAGGGCCACACCTGCACTGGGCAGCAGAGGCGCCTTCTTCTCCAAGCACTTAAGTGGCTGTGGCAGGGGCCTGAGGGATCGGGGGCCAGCTCACTCGTCTGTAATTCTTGGGGTTCACCTTTTCCTTCTGAAGGCCTGGACATCTCCCTTGTCTTTGGCAGCTTTCCCAAGAATCCTCAGGGACTGAAGGCCACATGTTTAAGGATCTTTGGCTAAGGCGCCTGATTACTACCCTCTGGCCTGTCTTGAATTAGGAGCCCCTTGGTCCCTGGCCCCTTAGTAAGCGGGCTGCGCCCCTTGTAGGAAGCACCACCCCAGCAGCCGGGAGTGTGCACTGCTCCGACAGGTTCCAGTAACCCCATGTCAGCCTCACCTCACCATCAGGAGGGCGTGTGGAAAGTGCTCCCAGGGGGCGTATTCCGGGGACCCTTCTCCTCGCAGAGTCCCTCACAGGCACAGCCCCTGCACCCCCTGTGAGGCTCTGTGGAAACCCCTCAGGATGCCCCCGCTGCTAAGGACAGGGGCGGGGGCGGGGGGGGGGAGTAGGTTAGACTATATCATAGCATACAGCGGCTGAAATTTAAGGGGAATATTAGGCGACAGAAGTGGGGGCCCTAAAGTCACGGGGGGGGGGGGAGGGTTCCAGACTTAGTCTCCCCTTTGTGCTGGCCGTATTTTCCAGGGGATGTTTTAAATGTCCCTCATGAAGGCATATGAGGGAGGACTGCAGACCATTTCCTGGCTGTCCCTCCCTGCCCCCTTCCAAGCACTTGGGCCCGGGTGTGGCTCTAGTTCAGTGGTTCTCAACCTGTGGGTTGCGACCCCTTTGGGGATCGAACGGCCCTTTCACAGGGGTCGCCTAAGACCATCGGAAAACACATATATAATTACATATTGTTTTTGTGATTAATCACTATGCTTTAATTATGTTCAATTTGTAACAATGAAAATACATCCTGCATATCAGATATTTACATTATGATTCATAACAGTAGCAAAATTAGTTATGAAGTAGCAACGAAAATAATTTTATGGTTGGGGGTCACCACAGCATGAGGAACTGTATTAAAGGGTCGCGGCATGAGGAAGGTTGAGAACCACTGCGCTAGTTCCTTTAGCACCTGTGCCCCCAGGCTGCTCCCTACGGGAAAGAGCAGTCCTAGGCACGAGTTGTGGCTCCAGACTGCAGGCTCAGGAGGGGGCTGCGGTCTGCCATCACGCAGGAACCTGCTGCGCTGTGGGGCACCGACCTCTGTGTCCTCCCCAGGCCCAGGGCACCAACAGTCTGTCCCGTGTCCCCCTGGGGTGGGAGCTTCTGGGTTGGAGGCTGCTCCCCTGGGCCGTTGGTTCTCAAACCCAGGCACACCAGGATCACTTGGGTGCCCTGACAAGCCTCCACGCTTGGGATCCCTGGATCTCTGGGTGGGGCCAGGGTAGGAGCCAGGAGCCGTGTGGGCACCTAGAGGCCAGGCCCTGCCAGGGTTTCTAGGTACCAAGAAGGACAGGACCAATACCCATGACCAGCATTTATTGAGGCTCCTCCCGTGCCCAGCAGCCCTTACGAACACCCTGACAGGGAGTGCTGTCGGCCCTCACGTGGGGAGAGAGGAAGTGGCAGGGTTGGAACTCGACCCCAGACAGGGAGCACCTGTCATCTCGGAAGGGAAAGGGCTTCCCCAGGGAGCTCTCCCCCCTCGGACAAAGGCAGAGGATAGGGTCCTCAGACACCTGTCTCCTGGGATACAGCAGGCAGCTCTGACCTGGCAGCCATGGCTGTTTTAGAGACAAAGGAACCTCCTGGCCTCCCTCTTCCTGCAGACAGAAGCTTCTGGGGGTCTGGTCACTGCCTGGCCTGAAGCTGCTTTGGGTGAGGTTTTTTAAAGAAATCCCAGGGTGGGGTGGGGAGAAGGGAACAGAAGAAAACAAACAAAATAAACCCTGGCGCTGCCCTGGGCCTGCCCGTCCTCAGGTGGCTGCCGCCAGGAGGCTCCATAGCAGGGATGTCTGAGGTGGGGGTGGGGGTGGAGAGCCAGGTGCACTGCCCACGGCCTAGAGCAGGGGGACCCGGGAGGATTCCCACAGGCGCTGGGCCAGCTCGCCCGCCTGCTGCACCAGCACATCTATGGGGATGACTGACAGGTGGAGGGCCAGCAGCTCATGACACCTGACGACCTCGGCCGGGTGGTCCTTGCTGTAGTAGCGCAGGAGTTTCCTACGGGGGGGAGAGGGGGGACAGGATTCAGAAGCAGCCCTGGCACTCCCTCCCGGAGCCAGGGGCTCTTTGGCACCTTGCACAGTCCCCTCACCAGTTCCAGCACCAGGCCTGCGAGGCCTTCCCTTGCTGACCTCACCATGCGAGGCTCAGCCCCAGCCCGCCTCGGTCCATCTCTCCAGTTCCCAGTCCTGTGTGGGGCCTGCTGATGGAGCATCCTAGCTAAGAGCCACAGAGCCAGCAGGGAAGTCCTGGACCCATGGGCAGATGTTTGCAAATGCTGACAAGAGGGTGCCAACAGCAGGATGGGCAGAAACCCACATGCTTCCCACTCACTTTCTCACTGGACGCTGGCCCCGGCTGTGAGGGCCTGTAACGAGGGTTCAGAGGTCCTTGGGGGGCATCCTGACATAGAAGCTGCCCCCCTTTGTGGGAACTGTTACTTATCACCCAACATCTGTGCACTCACGGCCCCAACAGGGTACACAGATCTGTCACCTGTAGTAGTCTCCTCCCAGCATGCCCACGGGCGCCGCGTCATCGGACAGGACAGGCACCTCGATTATCTGGAGTTTGTGCCCCTGGGAAGGAGGAAGAAGGTCTTGCTTGGAGAGGTGGTGGGTGTGGTGGGAAGAACATGTGGGTCAGACACCCCGGGTTCAGGGCCTGGCTCGGCACCTGCCTGGGGTGTGCTCATGCTGGGAAAACCGGGGACCTCTTTCTACTGTTTTCTCATCTGTGAAGTGGGGATAATAAAAATCCCAACGAACAGCAGAGATGACGGGTGTAAAGTTCCGAGCACCGTGCCTGGCATGTGGGAGCTCCCCGGGAGGGCCACGGGGAGGGTGACCCGGGAGGTGCCGTGAAGAGCAGAGCATTACCAAGAGGCCCGTCTCTCGTTGAAAGCACCGGGCATTCCCAGGGTCGCACCTGGAGGGGAAGGGAACCAAGGTCCTCTGGGCACCCACTGTGTGCCAGGCCCAGTCACGGCGCCTGCCCAGCACCCAGGAGGTACGCTCGGCCAGACTTCACACTGGGCCTCCCCACCCGCAGCTTTACCTCAGCCCATTGCCCCGGGGGCCAACCAAGCACACAAAGCTGTGCTTTGCTCCAGAAGCTAAGGGCAAGGCCATACACACATTGGGAAGTTCTGAGACACAGAGCAAAGATGGGCGCCTACAGGTCCAAAGAGCTGAGCCTGGGTTCTGGCTTCATCACCTATGACCTCAGTGACCAGCCGTGGTGTTTGATCTCCAGTGTGGAGAATGGGCCAATGATACCGGCCTCAACCGTCGCACAGGGCTGTGCGGCTGGGAGAACAGTGGTGAGAGACTCCAATAACTTCACTGAGGAAAGGGACGGGCCATCACCTCAGAGTCACCTCTCGCCAAGAGCAGAGAGAGTAGGGCATGGGGACAGGGAGACAGGAGAACAGGGACCAAGGGCATGTGGGGGTAGCAGAAATGACCTTTAGAAAGCTGGAATAATGATTAACAGTGACAAATGAGGAGAAAACAAAGTGAAACAGAAAATGAAAGAGTGGGGGAGGGAGGGAGAGCAAAGAAGGGAAGGGAGAGGGAGAAAGAGAAGGGGAGGGAGAGACATGGGGACAGCAGACAGTAATTTTCCAGCCATGTCCCTACACTGCAGTAACAGTGAGGTCTAGAGAACCAGCCAAGAGGCAAGAGATCCAAGCTATACTGTCAGCTGTACTTGGGCAGGCTGGCTAATTGCTTTGAGCCTCAGTTTATCCACCTGTACAATGGGAACAACAGTGTGCCATGCTTTTTAAGAACAGTGGGTGATGCTGGGGCATCACTGAGGAAGCACATGATCTGAGCAGCCTTTCTCACAGGGCATGCGTCCCTCTGTTCTCACGTTACCTGAAGTTACTAAAAGCTGCCTTGAACAACAGCTGGGTGGAGGGACACAAAGCCGGTGGGAAAACGGACCTCTGAGTTCCGGGTCCCAACCAGCTCTGCTTATCTGTCAGCTCCACCAGGGACACGAAGAGATGGAGAGACAGCCTGCACACCGTCCACGAGAAAGGAATGAGTGCCAGGCAAGGAAAGCTGCACCCACCATCTCGTTCTGGAACCACAGGAAGTAGGAGCAGAAGAAGTCCCCCTCCCGGAACAGCAGCGTGGTGTAGCCCTTCTGCAGGTATCTGCGCGCCCGCCGGATCAGAGACCAGACCTGGGGAGAGGAGGAGAGCGCTCGCACCACCCTGACAGCGGACAGCTCGGCTGGCCCTCTCCCCACGGCAGGGGCAGAGCTCGGCTCTGGCCTCCAAGGGCAGAAAAGTACCCAGAGGAGCTGCTCGAAGGCCTTGCCTGCTCTTCTCTCCCTAGCGCCCAGGCACAGCCCTGGCTCAAAGCAGGAGCTCAGCAATAAATCCATGTTGGGTGGACTACCCCTCCAGTTCCCATGACGATAAAATAGATGTAAAAGCACTTTATATAATGTCACCATACACTCCAGCTATAAATGAGTAAACTCATCATTCAGGCCAGAAACTAGCCAAAGTCAATGTTAACACAGGAGGAGATAAAGGGTGGCCGCCTGGAACCGCTCCTGCCGTCTAGGGCCGGCCCCTCCGGGTACCCTCCCGGGCGGGGAGCCTCTGACGTAGGTTCTAGGCGGGGAAGGTGTTAGTAAGGTGTTTGAGCACCAAGGGCACCCTGACCCAGCACCTCTGCTCCAAAGGGGAGGTCCTAAGGAGGCTCACCAAGGGGTCTGGCGGAAACGTGCTCGCGGACTACGCAGCTGAGGCCCACCACGTACTCTGGCCTCATTCAAGGACTTCCTGAGGCTGCTGTGAGCTGAGGGGAGGCAGCAGGGACAGCTTGGGGCTGGGAAAAGGCCGAATGAGCCCTCTCACTGAAAAGCTGAGCGGAAGGCACACCGGGTTCACTCCGAACCTGACCACAATGCAATGTCTAATTAAATCTGTAAACAAATGCATGGATTTGCTGTGTTTTCAGGAAAGCAACTTGACAACATGTATCAATAACCTTAAAAACATTCCTCCCACTTGACTTAGTCATTCCATTTCTGGGAATCCACGGTGCGAAAGTAATCAGAGGTGAGGACAAAGACGGATGCACACAGGTGTGTGCTGCGGAATTATTTATAGCAGCGAAAGCCTGGAAACAATCTCCATGTTCGACATCGGGGAAATGGCTAAGTAAATTATGTTACATTCCCATGATGGACTCTTGTGGAGCTGTTAAAAATCATGTTTATAAAGAATTAATGACATGAGGAAATGCACGGACATAAAAGTGAAAATGTGGTAAACACAATTGCATAGACAGAAAGCGCTCAACTACATCAACCTGCACAGGAAAACAAGGAAATTAATGTACCACGGGAGCCCAACTCTCTGGAAAGAGGGACGGAGATGGAGAAGATGATGATGGTGGTGATGATGGTACCAGTAAATACGCAATAAATTCTCTCTGTTGTGCTGCGTACGGTGCTAAGTACTGTGTGTGCATTTGTAATATTTGTCAACAGTGTCACTATCCTTTTACAAATGAGGAAACCGAACTTAGGCTAAGTAACACCCAGCCACATAGTGGGAACTGGTTTTCAGCAAAGGCCTCTGACGCCCATCTGCTCTGGGCCACACTTTATTTGGGTGCAAAGAGTGGGTGTGTCTCTGTGTGTACGTAGTGTAGAAGGTGGCAGAGGTCCTCCCTTCTCCTGACTCAAAATATGAGTTTGCCATGAAGAAGAGTCAGTTAAAGAGAATGAATCCCCAGAGAATGTCTCCTTTGCAGAAACCATCTAGTTTTAAGTTCTGACAGTCAAATTGGCTAAGCTGTGTTTCTTCTTTGTTTTGTTTAACTCAACAAGTTCTTAATGGACACCTTTTACGCCAGGCGCCGTGGCCGGCCTGGCCACGTCTTCCCCTGACCTCCCTGCCCAGTCTCTGCTAATCCAGGACATTAGCCAACACCCAGGAGGGTGCCCCCAGCATTGATCAAGACTGATCAGGGCCCTGGGGTGACAGAGACAAGCTGCTATGAGGTGCCTGTGGGGCTGGGCATAGGTGCTGAAGAGGAAGAGTAGGGGTTAAGGTGGGGCGAACTCCAGAGCCTCGGGAGCCCTGGGAGCAGGGGGCCCATCCCTCCCAGGCAGGGCCAAGGCCAGCACGTCCTGTCTGATGGGCAGTGAAGAGTGCCCGGCTGGGCAGCAGTTACCTTGGTTCTGACGAAGGCAGCCAGGGGCCCCTTGCCCAGCTCCGACGAGGTCCTGTCACTGTAGCTGAGAGAGGGGGCCACCATCTGGCCGGTCGTGCGGTCCACGTAGATGAAGTGCACCAGGCCCGGGAAGTCCTCCAGGTAGGTTCAGGTCAGAGTCAAGGTGCTGTAAGCCAGGACCAGGGAGCCGCTTCTCTGTCCCTGACCCAGTTCCGTAAGGCTAAGCAGTGGAGTCAGAGGCCAGGCCTGCCCCTCCCGCAGTTAACATTTCAGCCAACCCCTAGAACACCCTTTCCCAGACTCTCTTTACCTCCGAACCCAAACCCCAAAAAGTTCTAAGATGCAAGTACAATGGATCCCCGACGCTGGCACATTGAACACGGGGAGCTCTGGATGCAACGGGAACATGGTATGTTCATGTTTTATGGTCTTCATGAGGGATGCATTTAAAGTATACACACGATGCGGCTGGCGGAGAGGAGAGCCGCATGGGTGATGGGTGAGCCTAGCTGACCGCCACCCCACACACCTCACCGTGGCTGTTCATCTCTCACCTCAAGAGGCTGGAAGGCTGGGAACAGACCCCACGGAAGGGCAGTGGCTGGTGCTCTGCCATCCCTCTCACCTGCACACGGGAGAGACGCTGCAGGGGCTGGAGACTAGACCCTTTGGAGGTTTCATACAGGCAACGCTGCTTTATAGGAAGTTCCAGGGAAGGTCAATGTTCAGTAAAACTAGTGGTCCATAGTAAGAGGGTCTAATAGATCTTGGACATGGTTTCTCAAACAGGGATAAACATTCTGTGCAGGCCTTCTCAGAGCCTTCCTGTTCTGCTGTGAACTGTGACCTCCAAGGAGGAGGACATGGCTCTCACACCGCCCCGCCCCCAGGACCTCCGTCCCTCGAGGAATGCCCGTCACCACTTTGCTGGCGGCACCACCGACATAAGTGAACTCTAAGGCTCTTAAGAAGTAACTTTGGGACACCAGGGGCTGCTGAAATTTCAGCCTTGGAGTGTTCCTGCGGACAGGCACCTGGCACTATTGCCTGTTACTCAGAGAAAAGAACTGAGGTGATGGAAGATATATTCTCCATCCCACAGCCGCAGTCCTTCCGAGTGGGCAGGCGGAGGGACAGGCGGACAGGAGCGCTCCCCCGGGCGGCGCGGGGCTCAGACATGAGGATATGACACCATGGTGACGTTCCTCCTGCTCTTCACCAACAGGAAGTCCTTCCAGTCCATCAGCTTTTCTCTGTGGGAGAGCAGGGAGCAGGGGGCGTGGGGAGGTGTGCACCCACCCACCCCACCCACCCAGGGCCACCCCCACACTCACTGCATGAGCATCTGGACCTGGTCCTGCAGGTGCTGGGCTAGCTGTGGGCCTCCGTGGCTCGGAGCTGTGCTCAGGAAGCTCAGACGGTAGATGGCACAAAGCTGCCGCTTCATCTTCCCGCACAGCTGGAGCAGCCTGGGCCAGGAGATGAGAGTGTCAAGGCGGGCAGGGCCCTGGGAAAAGGCACTGTTCCCTGTGGGGCCACCTGACCCTGCACTGGCAGACGCAGCAGGGACAGCACCGCATCCCGCATCCTGCACGGCCACCAGGCACTGATGACAGGCGCGGCTGGCGAAGCGCGCCTCACCCTCGTGACCCAGGAGACAGCTTCCTTCCCAGTTCCTCCCAACATGGTGCTCCATGTGCTTAGGTGCCGTTCATGGGATCGCGTCCAACTTCATGGCTTATTTCCCAATAAACGGGGGAGTGACGTGTTCGAGGCTGCACTGAAGCGGAGCTGAAGCTGGGCTGGAACCCGGGCTGTGTGTCCCTGGTGTTGGGTCCTCACGGGCCTGCCGATCTCCACTCAGACTCTAGCCGACCTGCTTCCAAACCTCCCTCTAGCGTCTGCAGCTGGACCCCCTCTCCCAGGACCCCCGTCTCCTCAAAGGCACCTTCCTGAACATTCTCTCCCTTCTGGCCTGGAGGCAACTTGCCCCTCTGTCCAAACTTGCTCCCCGCCACCCAGACCCCACAACTCACTCCTGCGATGAGGCGGGGTCACTTCTGGAGAAGGCCTTGGTCTTGAACTCCTGCCAGGTGCTCTGCAGGAGGGCAGGGGGAGGGGACCGGTCAGCTTCCTGGTGGTGTTCCACAGCGAGGCCCAGGCTCCGAGGGCAGCCTCTGAAGGCTTACTTAGGCCCCGCACACACGTGCCCTCACACAGCCAATGTGGGGTCCCGGCAGGACCCCCGCTCTCGGCACCCGCTGTGCACCATGTTCTACTCTTGGCAGGTGTTCATTTCAAAAGCACTTTCCATGTGCTGGGCCCACTGCCTGGCTGGCAAAGACACGCAAACGAATGCTGCCAGTGACAGGTGAGTGACTCGAGGGGGCACTGACGCTGAGAGGAGCCTGGGCATCACCCTACAGAGGACCTGCACCCTGAGGCGGTGCCGCCGCGATGCCGGGGTCACTGAGAGACGCTGAGCAGCTGCCGGCTGCTCTGACGGAGACTGTGGGTCTGAGGCTGGGCCTCCTCCAATCCTTCTGCTCATTTCAGGTCAATTGTGCGCAGCCACAGTGATGCTCAGTTCCTCACACCGACCCAGCCTCCACCCCACTTCCTGCTGGGCTCCCCTCCCCTGTGCCCCCGTCACTGTCCCTCTCTCCAAGCCGCCAGGGGTGGGGGTGGGGGGGGTGGAGTGGCCCCGTGAGACCTGCCACCCTGTGAGGGCGTTGGGGGCAGACGGATGGCCTTTCCTGAGTCCTGGAGGCAGGCTCTGGCTCCCCGAGTAACCTTGGCCAAGTCGAGATCTAAGTCCCACAGTTCCCTCCTCTAAAAAAGTGGAAATTATAATTCGTGTTCTGCCAAACTTACATAAACGTGTTCTGAAAATGTCAAGTGCCGTGAGTTTTCGCTACAAGTTCCTAATGGGGACACAAGGATCGCAGACCCACAGTGGGGCAGAGGCGGACAGAACAGGCCTGCCCTCTCCCGGAGGCAGGCGGATGAGGTCCCGGCCTCACCTGAAGCTCCTGTCTCCCGCGATTCTTGACAAACTTGTCCATCCTCTGGCGCAGGTCCCCGACGAGCGGGTGGGACCGCAGGGAGCTCCGGGCCTCCTGGCCCTCCTTCAGCTTCTTCTCCAGCAGGGAAAACCCATCCAGCAGCTGGTACAGGGCCAGGGCCAGCGGCGCGCTGGGGCTCTACGGGAAGAGGCAGCAGGCAGGGGGACGGGCAGCCGCGGGGCCGGTGTCCAGGCCCAGGGAGGGGGGCCGGTGGGGGAGCCCTACCTTGGTGAGGAGCACCATGTTGATGCCTGGCCACAGGGGCAGGCAGTACACGGTGTGGGGTGCCATGGGGCAGTAGATGTCTTTCACACTGGCATCCAGGAAAATCCGTCTGGGGCAGGAAGGCGCTGGGGAGCCGGGCATCAGCGTTTGGAGCGTGTCTTCTCCTATCTGTGGAGGAAGAGGGGCTGTGGGGGGAGGAGCGGGGGGGCCGGCTGGCCTCCTCCTGGCCTTGGATCCACCCACAGCGGCCCAGGCGCCGTCCTCGCTGAGAACCACGAGGAGCCAATGTTTCAGCTCCAAGACGTCCCAGCTCTCCCGTCCCTGCATGTGCCCTAACAGCTCGCAGCCCCGGTTCCAACGTCTGTCTCTCTCTCAGCTCCTCTGGGCCTTTCCGCCCAGAGACAGGGCTGGGTGCCAAGCAGGGGCGGTGGGTAGAGAAGAGACGGAAAAGGCAGGAAAAACAGACAAGGGCGGAGCGAGGGCAAGAGGCTCCCTCCCCATGTCTTCACAGAGAGGAAGGCATTGAAAGTTAAGTCAGTCTGTCATTTCAACCACCCTCAGAGCGCCCACCGGGGGAAACCGAGGCACTGATGACTACATGAGCAAGACTCCCGCCTGACGGAGACTCTAAGAAAGCTTTAGTGGTAAAAGCAGAGAAGTGAGGAACTCGTTAGAGATGCCACCAAAACCTTCTGTGAGGACGGCACTGCAGTCGTATGGCAACAGCAAACGCTGGGCACCATGTGCTGCTGTTCCGGGCGTTGCGAAGTAAGGAACAGCACACGCGATGGACTGCAGTGCTGACCACACTGCTGAGGAGGGCCCAGCAAAGGAGAAAATGCTTAAGGCAAAAGTGTGATGAAATACATTAGGAAAAGAAGAACTATACATGTAGTGTGTGTGTGTGCGCGCGTGTGTGTGTGTGTGTGTACTGAGAGAGTGTAGTCCTTTTCCATACTTTCGTATTTCCCAATTTTTCTACAATGAATATATTTACATTTTCATCTTTAAAAAAACGTTAAAAAGTTGGACTTTCACTCTCCAGTGAGGAGTGGGGATTTCTCAGGAGTTGAGGTCTCCCTTCACCCCCCCCCCCCCCCACCCGGCTGAGCTGTCCCGGCAGCACTGACAGCCCAGAGGGGGCAGGCGTTACTCAGAGGGGAAACCCCAGAGTCCCCAGCATTCACTGCAGCATCTAGATCAGCTGGTACCCCGGGCCATCCCCTCCCCGCAAAACTCACCTGGACCAGGGAGTCATCGGTGGGTGGGGTTCCCCCATCCATCCAGACGGTGCTACCTGCAGGCCACAGGCAATAAAATAACATAAATAATTGGAAACTATAAATAATGGCGCAATAGCACATCAGGAGGGGTGGGTGGAGCAGGAGTGCCCCCGCCCCAGCTACCCACAGCACCTGGCGGGGCAAGCACTTAAGTGTGGGCCGGAGGGGCACTGCCCTTCCTGTCCTATCCCAAGCTGGCAAGTGCAGGCGAGCTCTGCAGTACCAGGGCCGGGCCGGGAAGAGAAGCTCCCCAGAGCCAGGCGCTGGGAGCCAGTGCCTGAAGATGCACCGGGCAAAGGGGATGCTCCTCAGCCCCTCCTTCCCCCTTGCTTCTGCCCTCTGCCCCTTCAGGCCCCTGCCTGGCTGTAACAGTGCCTCGCCACTAGGAGGCAGCACACGGTCTACATGTCCCCATTTGTTTAGTCAGTCAGCAAACTTTTACTGAGCACCTACTGCGTGCTGGGAATTGAGCTACATTTCCCTTCCCAGTAGAGCTCACAAAAACCTACGGAACCCACCACATATTGGAAATGTTATGTGTTTGTAATAATAGTGTCCTCTCAGAGTTTATTGCAAACGACTATCATTTATAACCATGTTTCTCTGGGGGAAGTCTGTTCCTGTGTCTCACACACCTGACTGACAAATGGGTGAGTGCAACTCGAGCCATCTGTAAGCTGTGAGTTCTGTGCACTGTGGAATGGCATTATTTACAGCTCTGAGGCATAAAAAACTAACGGCTGAGAGAAAGGGGCGAGGAGGAGGACCGTGATGAGTGAGGGAAGGGAAGCCAGTGATCACCCCAAGCGGTGCTTCCCGGTGTGTTCTGGGCTCACGGAGAGGCTCAGAGGACAGCTACGGACCCTGGTCTCAGAGGAACGTGCAAGCACAAGTGACCGGGGACACGCCCTCGGGGGCCCCGGGCTCCTTGCTGCCCATCCAAGGACCTGAAGTTAAGAACGTCTAGCCCAGCGGGTTTTAACTGTGGCTGCACATGAGACCTTTTAAAAATCCTGACGCCGAGGCCACGCAGTAGTTTAATTAATAAACTAAATCTTTATTTTATTTCTGTTGTTTACCCACATACTTTAAAAACAGGTCAGATATAAACTATAGAGACTGAATATTTTTATTTTAAATCACTGTGCTTGAAATCAAATGATTACTACTTAATTTTAATTACCTGATTACTTATTAATTACAAAAAAGAAAGAGAAAGCAGAGAATACACAGACGAGAGATGAATTTTTAAATGGAATCAACGTGTCATAAACAGTTTAGTGATCACTCGAGTGGCCCTCACAGCCCCTGAATTCAAGCTGGAGCCAGGAGGGCAGACAGAGGGGTTGCTGCAGACGGTGTCCCATACTCTAGAAATCCAGGCGTCTGTGCCTGGGCCCTTACAAGGCAGGGGGTCCACTGAACCCCAAGACAGACTCCCCAGGGCTGCCACCTGGCATATTTCTCCTTCCACCCCCCCTCCCAACCCTCCCCTCCCAGGTCTCACCTGAACCTGAACTCTGCTCCCCTGGGGAAGGGGCAGGGGTGAAGTACTCCTCAGGGAGGGAGAAGCTGTCTGTCTCCTGGGGGGAGAGGGGGCAGCTTGGGCCGAGGGCTCAACCCGGCCCCCCCTCCCCTCCCCTCCGGCACACGGCACATACCGTCCCTGTGGAGCTCCGGGCGGGGCCAGAGGAACGAGGGCGCCAGGCCTGCTGCACGGGGATGTTCTGGCTGCTCTGCAGCCTCCGTGGGGAAGGCTGTGACAGGCACAGGAGACGCGGTTAGAGCATGTCTGACGGGCTCCTCCCCACGGTCCCCACTCCCAGCACTTCATAGCCCTGGCACGGAGCAGAGGCACAGGTGCGACTGGCTCCACCGTGAGGCCCTGGCGTGGCCTCACCTTCCACGGATGTTTCAGTCCCAGGTGGTCTAGTCTTTCTCCAGAACCACTGACATTCCCTCACACTGACATCCAAACCACCGACGAGCAGGAGGATGGTGACGGTGGGGGGCACACTTACTGAGAATTCCCCCGCCCCAGGCATTGCTGGGCTCTAGGAACCTGCCTCCTTTATTCCTCCAAACAACCCTGAGAGGTAGATGTCATCGTTGTCCCTTTGCACAGATAAGGCCACTGAGGCTCAGAAGGGGTTAGTATCAGCCCCGCTCACATAGCTACGTGGTGAAGCAGGGACTATCTGACTCCAGAAATCTGCACTTTTAACCACATGCATTCTAGAACTCTCCTTCTATCTGAAAGCAGCAGGAAAGGCAGGCCCAGCCACAAGCCCAGAGCTGTGACTCAGGAACCCCAGCCGCCCCAGCAGCTGCCGGCACCCCGCGGACGGGCTTTCCACGCGTCCCCGATGGCCTCCTGCTGCCCAGGGGCTGCCCAAGACCTGAGTGTCGTCACCGTCGTCCTCCTCTGCGGTGCTCTCGCTGGGGTAGAGGTCATGGACCAGCAGGATGAGGGCCAGCAGGTCGGCTGGGCGCAGGGAGCTGGCACTGTGGCTGCAGAGAGAACGAGTGGCTGGTCGGCACGTGCCCAGTGCCCTGGGGGGCAGTGGATGAGGACAGTTTGGGTTGTGGAGACCCGGGCATGGTCCCGACCCCCCAGGAGTTTATGACTGCTCCAGCTGAGTCTCCCTTTTTGGAGAAAGGCAGGGTGTAGATAAAATTAGCTCATCAGTTTTTAAACTAAAACTTGGTTGTGTTAAAAATAATTATCAATGGGGAACCATCGGGGACCAGGAAGTCCTAAATTCTGACTCTGAGACAGTATTCCCGGGAGAGGTACTTCAGAGAGAGACTGAGCTGAGAGGGGCTGAGGGATCTAAGATCCGAGAAGCTTCATGGGAGAGACGGTTCTGGAAGGTTTTCTTGGCCGGGGAGGCAGGGATTGTCAGACGGGGTGAGCGTGGGGCCAGGGCCTCCGCTCACCTGGAGTAGAAAGCCAGCAGCTTGGAGTGCACGAGCAGGAAGGCGTGCAGGGCCTCCTCGCCGGCCCGCGCGGGGCTGGAGTTCACGGCCTGGACGACGTGCCGCTCCAGTGCCTCGATGCACAGCTCACAGAGCTGAGGGTGAATGAGCCGCTCCACGGCCTGGCCACGCGTGGGAGGAGAGGAAGCCGCGTCACCCGCCACCCTCTCCTGCTCCGGCCCTGGCTGGGGGTGCACTCCCTCAGTCCACACTGAGCACAGACCTGGGAACAGGGAGCTCAGACCAGCACGGATCCTGCCTCACTAGAAGCTCCTGTGTTTGGGGGTCTGCCTGCGCCCTCACCCGTGAGAGGGATCAAAACCCGGACCTACGGCTGCACGGCCCCTCTGACCTGACCCGTCCTGGGGCCGAGGACCCGCACCCACGTCACCTCCACAGCGAAGCTCTGCTCCCGCTCGCGCAGGCGGCCGTGGGTCCGCAGCAGGCTCTGGAAGTGCTCCCACACCTGGACGCGCTGCTCCGTGTCGGGGGGCCGCAGCCTGGGGGAGAGCACGAAGGCATGAGGAAGCTGGCTGTTCCCCGCTTCAACCCCGGGGCGCAGCCCTAGGTCCCGGGCAGGACCGGCAGAGCTCCAGTGACCTGACCAAGTAACAGGCAGAGCCTGCGAAGCACAGAGGGCCGTGTTGGGGCCATGCCCTCGGCGTGGAGAGGAGTGGCGGGGCAGGAACTGGGGGCCGGAGCCTGAGAAAATCGCTGCCCTTCTCCGGCTCTCACACGCAGACGTGACACGACCCCAGCTAGAGGCCCAGGGACGCTCAGGAAGGAGCCAGGGCCCCGGTGTGCACACACGGCCTGGCCTCAGGAGGGTGCTGAGCAAACGCCTGGATGGACCAGCCACGAGGACTCACTCCTTCCGGATGAGCTGGCCGTCCACGGTGACCAGCCCGAAGTGCACCTCAAACAGGAACTTGAGCACACGCAGCTTCTGCCGCAGGTCCCCCTCGGCCTCCGTGCCGTCGCCGTTGATGGCGATGAACAGGCATTCTCCGAACTGTGGGCACAGCGGGCTGATGTCAGCCAGCCCCGGGGGGCTCCCTCACTTGCCCTGATCCCTGGGGACAGTGAGGGGACGATCGGGTCCCAGGGAATTCTGGTAAGACTGCCCATGGAGTCCAGGGAGGAGGAACACGGGCCCCAGGACCACACACTCACCAGGTGAAGGACGTAGAGGTAGCTGCCATTTTCTGTGGAGAAGCAGGTGTATGTGTCTGAGAGCTTCTCCAGCATTGTCATGGAGGAGATGATGACTGGGGCCAGGAGGGTGCTGAGCTGGTCCTCCAGGGCAGGAAGCTGCCAGAGGGGGAGAAACCTGCTTGAGTGGGCCGGCCACTGGGGACAAAGAAATAGACAGAGCCGGCCTGGCCACCAGGGTGTCCACAGCTCTAGATCTGCCTGGAGGGTATCACTGTTCTGACGCCGAGGGAGCGGAAAGACATTGCCTCAAACCTGGGGCGTCGTTAGGAAGGCTGGGAAGGGCTGGCCACCTCACTGTGCTGTTCAGGCCCCGAAGGTGGAAGGGAACGTGAAGGGAGGAGGCAATGCTTCCACAGTGCAATGCTTGGGCATTTGATGGAGAGCTGGCCAACTCGAAGAGCATTCGCTGCCTGGCGCACAGCCCGCGCCCTCTGCAGCAGAAGGCCTGCTTTGGGGCAACGCAGCCTAAGGAAAGGGGTCAGAGAGTGGGCACAGACCCAGGTGCGAAGATGTTCACTACAGCATCTTTTATAGTAGCAAGCAGCTGGGGGAAAGGTAAGCATCTAGTACCAGAGGGACATTAAATAAGTAACAGCTCATCTACATGATGGAAGAATAGACAGCCACTTAAAGCAGTGGAGTGTTTCAATGATGTGGAACATTCCTCCATATTGCAGTCAATGTTATGTTTCACAAAAAAGGTGTGGCCCGACGGGCGTGGCTCAGGGGTTGAGCATCCACTGATAAAACAGGAGGTCAGGGTTCGATTCCCTGTCAGGGCACATGCCAGGGTTGTGGACTCGATCCCTAGTAGGGGACTTGCAGGAGGCAGCGATAATTCCCTCTCATAATTGATGTTTCTCTCTCTCCCTTCCTCACTTTGAAATCAATAAAAACACATTTTTAAAAAATGGTGTGAATGTTTTGTATTTTAAACTGTATAAAAAGCATTAAAAACATTAAGAAAGTCAACATTGTTAAATTTATTACTTCTGAATAAAGGGACCTGTGAGTGACTCTTCCTCCTACTTTTTCTATAGTTCTGTACCTCCTCCATTTCCATAACAAGCACACTTTTACTTTTATAAGCTCTTTCCCCACCCATCCTCTCTGCCCTCCCAACTAAGGAACAAAACAAACGAAAAACGATGGACAAATTACTCAAGAATCTGCGAATAAAATGGGATAAGGCCAGTGGAATGGCCTCAGCTGAAACTCACAACACTGGAATGCAAGGAGGGAGGGAAATGCTGGCCTGCGCCAGCTGATTCCGGGAGATCTGACTGCGATACGGAGAGAGCAGAGTCCCGACCTGGAGCTGGTGAGATCTCCAAGGAGCCGAGGGAGCCCTTGCCTTGAGAAGCCAGGGGCCGTGCAGCGTTAACATATGAACTGGACACAGCGTGCCATGCGGCTAATTTTCTCTCAACATCTCAACATCAGGAGCCAAGGTCTGTGCCCAGCGGCTGCAGAACCTGCCAGTGAAGCTTACACAGCGGCTGCTTCTCATCATTCAGGTCCCAGCTCAGACAGCCTCTCGCCTGACCACCCTCAGGCCACCCTGCCCCAGTCACTCCCCATCTCACACCCGGTCTAAGTGCTTCTGACCATTCATCACTCGCTGAGCTCACGGTGCTTACTTGGTTCACTGTATGTCATCCCTTTTTAGCCCCTAATTACATGAGAGCAAGTTCACATTCACTGCTTTACCCCCTGAGAACGGCACACAGTAGGTTCTCAATTAACATTTGTCTGGATATCCCTCCAGGTAGGCAAATGTTGAATTATTCATGTACCATAATTTTCTAGAACTGTCATAAATGAATTATATCAATAGAAAAGTCACTTAAAAATCTAGAGTGTGTACGGCAACTCATGTTAAAAGTAGTAGTTTTTTCTGCAGGTGTAGCAAGAATTTTTTCTGGGGGCGGGAGATAAAAATACTTGATGTAGGCAGAGTGTGAGGGGACACTGTCATCCTAGTTGGTAGAATTATAAAGTGGTAAAATATCTATGGCTTTTGAATCGACGTTTCTGTACTTAGGAATCTATCCCAAGGAAATTGTAAGATGTGGGGTAAAATTCAAGCACAAGTGCTCCCTACAGTAATAGTTATAGAAAACTAGAAGTGATAAGCAAGCCCAGTATTGAGGAAATAGTTAAATAAATGCACGCATTTATCCATACACAGGAATATGTTTCCATGAACATTTATGCTTTTGAGAATATTTAACAAAATGGAATAAGCTTTAGATATGATGGTAAGTGAAAAAAAACAGAAAACAAAACTGTAAATGTGGCATGATCCCAACTATGGTATATATAAAATCTACTGAGCGTTGTCCTATGCACCAAGAAGTTGCTGGTTCAGTTCCCAGTCAGGGCACATGCCCGGGTTGCGGGCTCAATCCCCAATATCAATCACTGATATTTCTATATCTCTCTCCCTCTCCCTGCCTTTCTGAGGTCAATAAAAATGTATTAAAATAAATAAAATGTAGAGTGAAAATAATCTGAGTTTTAATAATAAAGTGTAAAATGGGATGTTCACATGCAAAAAATAAATTTACTTTAATCTATGCCTGACACCATATTAAAAAATTCAAAATGGATCATTAGACCCAATATAAAACCTAAAACTATAAAATTTCTGGAAGAAAATACCGGGAGAACTCTTTGTGATCTTGGGTTGGGTAAAGATTACTTAGATATGGCATCAAAAGCATGATTCATAAAAGCAAAAAGCAAAAAAAAAGGACAAATTGAAATTATCAAAATTAAAAACTTCTGCCCTTTGAAAGACACTATTAGATGGATGCAAAGATCAGACACAAATTGGAAGAAAATAACTACAAAACATCTATCTCCTTGGATTTACATCCAAAATACATAAGAAATAATCAACCCAATAAACTGGCAATAGATTTGTACAGTTCAGTAAAGAAGATATAAGAATGGCAAATAAGCACATGAAAAGAGATACTCAAATTCATTAGTCATTAAGGTAATGAAAATTAACACACAATGAGATTCTGTCATGAACAAATTATATTAATAGAAAAGTCACTTTCTATTACTGATAAGAATGACTAAATATCAAAAATATAAGTCTGTTTTACTATGGTTGCAAATATCAAAAAATGTCTATATGCGACACGGCACCAGAGTTAAGTTAGGGTTTTTCAAAATGCTGACACGCTGAGCTCAAAAGGTTCGCCATCACTGGTGAACCAACTGTGGCGCATGGTGAAGACGGACCACAGCTCAGCTGTGGACGGGGATGAACTGCTGAGACACACAGTGCAAGAGGGACGGGTCTCAGTCAGGCTGCATGAAGGAAGCCAGACCAAACCAAAACCAAACCCAGCCGGTACCCACTGTAAGATTTCAGCATAAAGGCCTATAAATACAAACTCATCCATCGTGATAGACAGCAGATCTGTGGTTGGCCAAGTTGGGGGAGGTGGAGGAAGCTCACAAATTTGGGGGAGGGTGGCCATGTCCATTTTATTGGTTGTGATGGAATTGCAGATATGTATAAAGTATATCAGACTGTACACTTTGAGTATGTTCAGGTTATAGTATGTCAATTATACCTTAATATAGCTGTTATAAAAAGTAACGTGTTAAGATTATGCTAAACTTTTTAAGTAAAGAAACTGGTGAGATCAAGTTTCTCTGCTGTGCGATTAAAATTCCACCTCCCCCTGCCCTCACTTAGCCATCAGCCCTGGGGGAAGTAAGGGGGGGAGGTGCCAAGGATGCTGGGCCACACGCTGTCTCTGGCCCCGCCCTGGAGGGCGGGCAGGTTCTCCTGCCTCCTGTCCTCCTGGTAGTTCTGTGTTGTCCCCTCCCGTCCATCCCACACTCACCTCTTCTCCCTCATACTCCGACTGCCCAAACTTCAGCCGCAGACTCTCTTCAAACTCCTCATCTGTCCAGTAAAAGAGGACCTCTGCTCCCTCTGTGGCCACCAAGACGCACTTCATCTGCCAGGGAGAAGCAAGGTCAAGGTTCCCTCCCAGGCCCACATCCTTAAGCTTGGCCTGAGTGATGAAGAGGATCCTAACCCCAGCAAACATCTACTGAGCCCTTCCTGGGCACCAGGCACCACGGCCGGGCCTCCTGGTGTTACTTCTCCACACCCTCTCAACCACCCGGTGAAACAGGAACCTTCAGTTCCTTCCTTTCCATAGAGCACCATGTGGCACAGCTGGAAGTGGCAGAGAAGGGATTCTGTCTGAGGCCACGGCTGGGGCTCTTCCCTGTGTCTTCTGACCCCTGGGCCTCCTGGGACCAATCGTGAGGAAGGACCCAGCTCTCGATCTGGACAGGAGTCCCCTGCACGGGGAGGCAGGCAGTCCCCGGGCTCAGGGCAGACAGAGCCTGTGCTGGAACGGAGGGCGGCTATGGAACCTCCGTCGGGGCAGTCCAGAGGTGTGTTTGTCCTCAAATCAAAAAACAGCCACAAAAGGCGAGCTTCGAAGCCCACCAGGAGTGGATTCAGCACAATTTCATTCACATGTCCTTGCTCTGGGTGGACACAGAGACTGCCTGACCTTGCCCACGTTCATTCTCACATCTGCTTAGCTGCGGAGTCTGAAGCCACATCCTCCAGTACCTCTGGCCCTTTCGAACCTCCTTCCCCACCGCCCACACATGTACCCCCTGTGCCACACATTTTAAGGCTTAATTATAGAAAATGTGTTTTCTTATCCACCAACTGGTCGATTCTTAATTCAGAGCTCCCTGCACTGTCTTGGCCCCCGGGTGCAGCAAGACGTCGAGCCTCTCAACCTTGGAGAAGCGTGCCCAAGCCTGGTGAGGCCAGAGCTCTCAGGCGGTGCGTGCAGCTCAGAACCCCCGAGAGGAACTTCACACCTTGTCGTGTGCCGCAGTGTGCCACACGGACATGATGACGCTGCCCCTGTGCTAAGACGTGACACGGATTAGGAAGGAAGCTCTGAGTCTTCTGTGATGGAGGTCCAGCTTCCTCAACAGGAGCCTAGCAGTTAGAGATCTCAGACTCCTATCTCTTTAGGATCCCCTATCTGAGCGGCTTAGTGGTACTTACTGAATTCCCTCCAAACCTCCAGCTGGTTTATCAACTCTAACGCAGAGCACCTGGCCTCAAGATGGCTCCAGCCTATCCCCGCGGAACTGCTAAGCACCAGGCAGGGACTGCGAGAAGACGGAGTGTGAAGAGGTTGCTGTGGACGAGGGCAGCTGGACCTGGAAGAGGCGCCAGGACTCCCAGGCCAGCCTGATGTGGGGGTGGGGCATGGCGCACTATGGACTGATGGCTGTGGTCCACAGCAGAGAGCCCCTTTAGCCTGGTAAGGCTGTGGGAAAGGCGTGCTGGCCACAGATGGGTGAGGTCAGGTTATGGAGGCAGGTCGCCTGGTGTGAGGTCTGGAGGGCCCACTCCTTGGTGGAGGCCGGGAGAAGCGTAGCCTAGAGACACAGCAGAGCCTGATGACTGCCAGGGGCTGGGGAGAGGGCTCTGCAGAGCCCGGGAGAGCTCAGTCACTGCCTGCCTCGCTCTGTCCACCTTCCGCAGCCCCAGAGTCGGTACTGCCTGCCTCCGGCTGCCCCAGGTATGGCGGAATCATCTACCTTGGTAAGGAGCACAGCGGGGCTTCCCGACAGCCAGCGGTCCAGAAAGGGCTGCAGTGCACAGACTCCGTGACCGGCTCATGGAGAGCAGCATAGCATTCCGGGTCCTGCAAATGCTTAAAACAGAGAGGTGAGGAGGACAAGCAGTTCTGACTGTGCCAGCTCCCGGGAGTGGACAAGGTGGCGAAGGACCGACTGCGTGGTCACAGCTCTTGCTCTGGCTCGGAGGCAGTCTGCTCAGTACGTTTTCCCCACAGCCAGGTGTCTGAGCGCCCTGTACCCCTCCACCCCTGCCCGTGAACAACTGAAACAGGACATAGCAGGTGCCCCACAAACGTGAATTCCCACCTACTGTTTCCCTCCAAGCACTCTCACTTCCCTGTGGGTCATGCAGAGCCACGGCGTGGTCAGCAAACCCACTCTAGTCCCAGGAAAAAGGAACCTGACCCCTGGTTCTAGTTTTGGCTTTGCCAAGGCCCTTAAACCTCCCTGAGCCTCAGACTCGGCTGGGAAAGGGAGGAGGAATCCCCGCTGCACTTGCCTACGAGGTTATAGCGAGAGTCGGGGGTCACCTGGCAGGAGGGCCCTGACACAGAGGTGTTGGGGGGGGAGGGGGAGGGGGGTCTTTATTCTTATTTCCCAGGTGCCCTTCATCAAACAACGGGTGAACTAAACTGGCTGTAGGTGCTTCACATTCTGATGATAAAAGGCGGGAGTAATACAAAGCTCCAGCTCAATGAGGATGAGGCAGGGAAGGGCTTTTAGGGCTCAGCATTTTTTCGCAACAGGACTGAGCCTCGCTACAGGACCGGGCGCCTGGGCTTAAGGCCACATTCCCAGGAAAATGGGAGTGTTCCCTAGTGAACGTTCCGTTGTACTTTGGTTATTCCAAACGACTAGTCGGAGGCCCTGTTCTCTCTCCACTGCGCTCAGGAGGGAACGCGGGACTCATGGAGCTCGGCCCGCGCCCCTAGCCCCGTGCCCCGTGCCCCTGGGCACCGTCCGCCTGCGGCAGCTCGGGCTGCGCCCGGCCCTGCCCCGCGGGGCGCAATGGGCACCTCGCCGCCGCCGCGGGCTCCCGACCCCGCAGCCTTCCATCGGCCCCGCACTCTCCAGTGTGGACAGCAGTTTCACCCCCAAGTCCCCTCGCACCTCGCAGCTACCCGGGGGAGAAGGCCGGGCTGGTGGCACCCGCCCCACTTCGGAGCTGCAGGAACTTGGGCTCCGAGAAGTGAAGCGACTGGCTCTCGGCCACGCGGGCGGTGGGTGAGCTGGGGGGGGCCCGCGCCCCACGTCCGGGGGGTCGCGCGGTCCCGAGGCAGGTCCGCCGTCCACGGAGGGGGCAGCCGAGGGCCGCGCCGGGTCAGTCGGGGGCCCCACCTGCGCGAGCGCCGCCGCTCAGCCGGTCCGCCCCGGCGCGCTTCCGGGTGGGACCACGTGACTCCCCACGTGACCGCCTGCCCGGCGGCTCGGGGCGGCGTAGTGGGCTCGGGTGGGATGTTCCGCTCCGGAGCGCGGGCTCCTGCCGACCCGGGTCCCCTTCCTGTTGTCGTTGAGGGGGGCGCCCCGGCCCAAAGCATCGGGGGCGCCGCCCACAGCGCTCGGGGCCGCGTCCCACACTGTGCCCGCCCGTCCCCTTGCCTCAGTCCCAGCGGTGCCCGTGGAGGCACCGGGAACAGCCCCATTTCGCCTCATTTCGCAGAAGAGGAAACCGGGGCCTAACGATAACCGCTTGCCGCGGGGCCCGGTTGGGTGAGCAGCCAGGCCCCTGGCTCCGGGCTGGCCCTTGCCCACGGACGGGCTTTGCTTCTGGGCGGCGCTTCAGCCCCGGCAGGAGCCGCGGGTTTCCCTGGCCTCCTGGGGAGCGGACAGCCTGCGGGGGGCCAGCTGCCCCCACGGGCACCTCGGAATTTCTTCTTCCATTGCGGGGAGGGGCCTTCCCATTAGGGGCTTTGTCTTGAACCCGAGTTCGCAAGATTTTCTTAAATTGTGTGTGTACTTGTAGAGGCTGAAGGCGGGGAGAGCGGAGGAAGGTTATGGAGGGGACTACATCCCCACCCAAGTCACCCCTCAGTGTCCTGGAGTCTCTCTCATGGGAGCTTTGAGCGCAGCCCACGCGGGGGTGACTGTGAGGGTCTGTGTAGGTCACAGCAGGTAGAGCACCCCTCTCCCCGTCCCGCCAAAGGCAGGGGCCAAGAATTAATGCGCCACCACCTTCAGACAAAGCAAGCATCACTCCTGCTCCCCTTCCTCCATGCACTGCCCCTCCCTGGCAGCCCACCTTAGGGCCCGAACTCCCCCTCCGTAGCACAGAGCCCACCGCGGGCACTGGCTCCCGTCCGTAGCTGAGGTCTCCGGCTGTGCACTCTTTATCCTGTTATTCCACTCACCATGTTTCTCTTTGGTGTCAAACTCTTCATAAGCATGAATGTCAGTGATTGAATAAATTTCATCAAGTGGATTTGCTGCTATTTATTCTCCGCCCCCCCCCCCCCCACTAGTCCATTTCCCATCAGCATTGTATGAGGGCTCCACTTTCTCTACATTTTCGCCAAAGCTTGTTGTCGTTTTTTAACAGCCATCCTCATGGGTGTGAAGTGGTATCTCATGATTTTGATTTGTATTTTCTCTAATGACTAATGACATTCAGCATCTATTCATGTGCGTTGCAGCAATTTATATGTCTTCTTTGGGAAAATGCCTACTCAAATCCGTTGCTCATTTTAAAATTAAGTTCTCTTATTATTAGTTTTAAGAGTTCTTTATATATTCCGGATACAAGTCCTTTATTTGATACATGATTTGCAAAAATTTTCTCCCATTATGTGTTTTTTAAAAATCTTTGTTGCTGAAAGCATTGCATATGTACCCTTCCCACCCCCAGGCCTTTACCACCCTATTGTCTCTGTCCATGGACTATGAATATATGCATACAAGTTCTCTGGTTGATCCTTCCTGCCCACTCACCCACCCCCACCTTCCCTCTGAGATTCTTCAGTCTGTTCTATGCTTCTACGTCTCTGGATCTATTTTGTTCATCAGTTTATTTTGTTCATTAGATTTCACATATGAGTGAAATCATGTGATACTTGTCTTTCTCTGACTGGCTTATTTCGCTTAGCATAATACTCTCCAGGTCTCTCCATGCTATCTCTAAGGGAAAGAGATCCTTCTTTTTTACAGCTGCATAGTATTCCATGGTATACATGTACCACAGCTTTTTTATCCACTCATCTACTGATGGGCACTTGGGCTGTTTCCAGATTTTAGCTATTGTAAATTGTGCTGCTATGAGCATAGGGGTGCATACATTCTTTCTGATTGGTATTTTGAAGTTTCTTAGGATATCCTAGAAGTGGGATCAATGGGTCAAATGGCAGTTCCATATTTAATTTTTTTAGGAAAGTCCATATTGTTTTCCATAATGGGTGCACCCGTCTGCATTCCCACCCACCATGTACTAGGATTCCCTTTTCTCCACATCCTTGCCAACACTTGTCATTTGTTGATTTGTTGACGGTAGCCATTCTGATAGATGTGAGGTGCTACCTCATTGTTGTTTCAATTTGCATCTCTCTGATGATCAGTGACTTTGAGCATTTTTTCATATGTCTCTTGGCCATCTGTATGTCCACTTTGGAAAAGTGTCTATTTAGTCCTTTGTCTATTTTTTAATTGAACTGTTTGTCATCCTTTTGTTAAGTTGTATGAGTTCCTTATATATTTTGGATATTAACCCTTTAGCAGATGTACCATTGCCAAATATGTTCTCCTTTTTCATTTTGTTGATTGTTTCTTTTGCTGTGCAGAAGCTTTTATTTTAATGTAGTCCCATTTGTTTATTTTCTCCTTAGTTTCCTTTGTCCTAGGACAGGGGTGGGCAACCTTTTTGTGAGTGCGTGCCAAAACCAGCAAAATCTCTGACTCAAAATTCTTCTGCGTGCCAACCCTAATTTTTTGAGAACATGTTACACCTACTTGATATCTCTTAAGGTGTACATATGTGAAGAACCTTGAAGAAATAATAAAATTCATTCGAGTGACTAAAACACAGTATATGATGATGAAAAATACATTTATTTTTTAATGTATACATGTTATGTAAAATTATTTATTTATCTAAGATGCACCTACACTGAATTTATCTGAAAAATAAAGAAGTCGATATTAAGAAAAAAATTGTAAATGGAAGATTATAAGAGATGGTTTCACGTGCCAGCAAAAGTTACTGGCGTGCCATGTTTGGCACGCGTGCCAGGGGTTGCCCACCCCTGTCCTAGGAGATGTATCCACACACATATTGCTATGAGAGATGTTTAAGATTTGGCTGCCTAGATTTCTTGTAGGATTTTTATGGTTTCACAACTTACATTTAAGTCTTTTATCCATTTTGAATTTATTCTTGTATATGGTATAAGTTGACGGTCTAATTTCATTTTTTTGCATGTGTCTGTCCAATTTTCCCAACATCTTTTATTAAAGAGACTGTCTTGATCCCATTGTATGCTCTTGCCTTCTTTGTCAAATATTGAGCGTAATGGCCTGGGTTGATTTATGGAGTCTCTGTTCTATTTTATTGATCTATATTCCTGTCCTTGTGCCAGTACCAGACTGTTTTGATTACAGTGGGTTTGTAGTATAACTTGATACCTGGTATTATGATCCCTCCAACTTTGTTCTTCTTTCTCAAGATTGCTGTAGCTATTTGGGGTCTTTTTTGGTTCCATATAAATTTTTGGAGTATTTGTTCTAGATCTGTGAACCATTATGTGTTTTGTCTTTTTACTTATCACTTGTAGCACAAATGTTTTCAATTTTTATGTAATCCAATTTATCTATCTGTAATTATGTGCAGGTTTTTGTGTCAATGTAAGTTTTTATTTCACTTGGATAAACACCTAGGAGTGGGATGGCGGGACTGTATGTAAAGTGTATGTTTAAGTTTATATTAAGCCGTTGAACTGTTTTCCAAAGTGCATGCACCATTTTATATTCCCGCTACAATATTGAGAGTTTTAATTGCTTTGTAGTCTCCTTAGCATTTGATGTTGCCTTTTTCTAACTTTTGCCATTCTAGTAGGTATGTAGTTTTTATGTATGTATCTCATTGTGGTTTTAATTTCCATTTTCCTAATGACAAATGATGCTGAACTTCTTTTCATGTGCTTGTATGCCATCTATATCTCTTCTCTGGTAAAGTATTCAAATCATTTGCTCATTTTTAAAATTGGATTGTCTTGCTTATTATTTATATGATTTTTTATATATTTGGATACAAATCCTTCAACAGATCTATTTTGCACTTTTTTTTCTTTTTTTGCAGTCTGTGGCTTTGTTTTTTCACTTTCTTCACAGGGACTTTCAAAGAACAGAAATCTTTGTGCTTTTTTGTGTGTACTGTCTAAAAATATCGTTGCCTAAGCCAGGGTCACAGTTTCTCCTGTATTTTCTTCTAGAAGTTTTATAATGTTAGGTTTTACCTTTATGTCTATGATCCATTTCAAGTTGATTTTTGTAGATGGTATAAGAGAAGGGTTCATTGTTTTGCATATAAATATCCATTTTTTCTAGTTCCATTTGTTGAAAAAATATCCTTTCTCCACTGAATTACTTTGACACATTTATCTTAAGTCAGTTGTCCATATATACATGAATCTATTTCTGGAGTGTCTATTCTGTTCAGTAAATATGTAAGGATTCAGGTCACATTAAGGATTTTATTGATTTTTCTCAATAGCTTTTGGTTTCATCAATTTTCATTGGTTCTCATTTCCCTAATTTCTGTACTGATATTTACTATTTCCTTTCTTCTGTTTACTTTGGATTTAATTTACTTTTCTTTTTAAATAATTTCTTAAGCTAGAAACTGACCTGATTTGAGATCTTTTGTCTTTTCTAACAATGAAGTTTACTGCTATAAAATTCTCTCAAGGTTCTGCTTTATCAGCACCTACAATTTTTGATATGTTATATTTTAATTTTTAAATAGTTCAAAATACTTTATATATATTTTTATTTTTTTGACCCATGGGTTATTTAGAAATGTATTATTAATTTCCAAATATTTGGAGGTTTTCAGGATATCTATAGATTTCTATTTCAAGTCCATCTGCTCAGAGAATATGCTTTGTATGACTTGAATCCTTTTACATTTACTGATGGCCTAGGACAGTGATGGCGAACCTTTTGAGCTTGGCGTGTCAGCATTTTGAAAAACCCTAACTTAACTCTGGTGCCGTCACATATAGAAATTTTTTGATATTTGCAATCATAGTGAAACAAAGATTTATATTTTTGAGATTTATTTTATATATTTAAATGCCATTTAACAAAGAAAAATCAACCAAAAAAATGAGTTCACCTGTCACCGCTGACACACGTGTCATAGGTTCGCCATCACTGGCCTAGGATATGGTCTATCTTGGAGATGCCCATA